TCAGCAATTCACAATTCTTTGATAGAACAAGGCCTCATTACAAGAAAATGGAAAAACAAATTATAAAACTTTCAGGCCATGATATATTGTGAGGTCAAAGTATCCAAAGATGAGATAATACATAATCCACGAAAACAACCAAAGTAATGGATGTGGATCTACACAATGGCAAAATCTCAAATAACATGTTAAACAAGAGGACAGAAATACAATTTTGTTCTCAATAAAACTTTGCAATTTTCAAAAAGAGACATAGTTGAATGAAAATGGGACTACATCATTTTTATAAGTATACTTTACTCCATCTTTGAAAAATCAAAGAAAAAATTTGGAGAAGTTTTTGAGAATATCTTGCTAATTTTTCTTGCAAAATTACGTGAAAATAACTGGTATTTTGTAAAAATGAACCTAATCTTATTTAACGATACACAGTTTTGAAATACAGATTTCAACCAGGAAAAAATCTCTATATTCAAAACTGTAGTTGTAGGAAGACTTCAAACAAAATGAAAGAAAAAAAGAGCCATTTTTAAGAAGTTTGAAAATGTTGAGTTTTTATGTAAAATACCCCCAGAACCATAAACCAATTTTTCAGTATCAAGGACCCATGAAACATAGATTCCAACTACATAATATATTAGAGGAAGTTATTTACTATATATAGGAGCAAAATCTATCTGCTCTCTCAAAATAGGGGATCCACAATATGAGTTTTTCGGTTGTAAAATTGCCACTCCGCTACTGCATAACAATTCTTTCTCTTTACTGTGTAAATTGTAGAAGGCAAGAAAGTTAAAACAAAACAAAAGAGAATGAAGTGAAGCAGTATTCTCTGCAACTTACATTCTCCACCATGTCACTGCTGCTATTGCCACAGTGCACTATTCAGCTGGGAAGTGTTGTTGCTTGTCAGAAGATGTACGTCAGTTGTGAGCCTATAACACACATTGGAGCAAATTTAGCAAAAATATAAAGGCTAACAGGTCTATAGTTTTTTGTAATTGGGTGGTGGAGAATAGAAAAGTCTAAGGGAGACTGGTGTAGAGAAAAAGGAAGAAAATGCATTGATTTGCAGGGGTGGTGTTATCAAGGAAGATCGATAAAATATGCTCTTTCGAATATCTGTTCATGATAATGACTAAATGTTTCAATTGACACGACAGCTCCACATGTATTATTTCTGACCAAAATGGAATTGTTTTTCTATAGTTGACAGAGTGCGAGGCCATTGGTCCGGTCATCGATAGATGACTAAACAGAATTTAAAAAATAATACAGTGTTAATGTTTTAGAGCATAATTGAATATTAGGAAAAAATCTACAGATATTAAATGGTAATGGAAAAAAAACAACTGAGAAATAGTAATGAAACAAGAAGCATGATGTAAATGATTTGCCAACATTAGACTCGCCGCCAATCAAGGTGACACATCTGGTAACTTCATACCCTATTCCTTTCCACAGCGATAAGTACTCCAGTCATCACTGTTTTCATAGAAACTCAGCTGTTCCTGGCCGTGCACATTGAAACGTGCCATTAGGACATAATATGAAGTTGTACAGTGCATAATGTGAAGTAAAACAGTGTATTGGTTTTGTGTGCATCCTAATTCTTGAGAGCTTTTACTTTGTTAGTTGTTTTTCAGTTTTCATGCACTGCAAAAGAATTTAAGGTATCGTAGTTTTGCTGAAATCAAAACTATTTGGTTCCCTTACATTTGGAGTGGTTTTTGATTGACTGGAAATTTTTGTCTTTGATTGTGAAACAATGAAATGTTTTGGGAATTTGTTTGTTTACTTGCATTCAATTGTTTTTAAATTACTGGGGTTTTAAAAATGAACTAATTGTTTTTAATGGAATTACATTTTCATGACAAATCTCCAGACAATACTCCATTAGGAGTATATACACATACTTATGGTATAAATTTGTGAATGTCAATACAATGGTAACATAACCACATTCAAACGTCACATGTTATCATTTTAGAACAAAAATGGTTTACATTTTTACGAATTTAAATAATGTAGAACCATAATTTATGTGCATATCATGATCATTTTATGAGTGGGTACCATTGTCTAGTGTTCCTTGATTTGTTTTTGGTTCATTTACATTTAAGTTTGACAGCATTTAGTAATTTAAGTCTAGCTGAGCCATCGCAAAAGGTTTCAATGTGTTGGAGAGGATTCCCAACACTCAGTAGCTGATGCATTAAAGGAAATAATTATAGACGTTGTCATTGCCAACAATAGTATTTAATATAAGAGCAGCTTTCGATGGCTTAGCCATCATCAGCTGATGCATTACCACAAGGTAGTGAGTGTGTTACCCCAGATGCAGCTCATGGACATTGGGTTGGATTATTGTAGTGATTTATAACCAAGAACCAAACAAATGTTTACAGTAATAATTTCATATTTTTGGATTTAATGAATTTCGGTTTTACTGTAAAACCAGAGATTTTTAAAGCAATTTCAATTCCAATATTGCCTCAAAAATTTATTGAAAAGAAAATGAAAAAATAGCATAAAAATGAGTGTCATCTTGAGCATAATAACCTAGGATATCATGAACCCCTCCTCCATTGCTTTGGAGAGAAGGACCCACATACTGGGCAATGACCACACAAAAATGTCATGCCACACTAATTAGTTGACAGAAGTAGTCGTTAAGTCTGAAAGACAAACAAAACTGCAAAAATATTTTTTTTAAACACTGAAATTATAGTTCTAATTGATTTAGATTCACATTACGTAACATTAATTTTCTTAAATAAAGAATTCTTTCAGAATTAATTGACACTCAGCAAGATACATGAGTAATACTTAATTTTTTATTTAGTTTCTTCCTGTGAATTTCATTGTCGGGATGTGTTGTGCGAGTTCATGGATGACTAATGTATCAATGATCATTTACTGTTGTATGATCTTTTTCTTAAAAAGTTATTTTGTTCATTATTAACTTGCAGGTCTTATGGAAAATCAACACGCTTCATATCGAGCTAGTGGTGGGGTTGGGGCTTTGGACAGTGTGAAAAAAAATGTTCAGTCTCATGCAAAGGAGGTTGATGACAAAGTTTTGTCTATAATAAGCACACTTGTAGTGGGACAACTGACACATTGGGAAGCGAGACCTCCTGTTCCATCACTTACCTTCCGCAACATATCGAGGTAATGCATTAGAGTAACGACTTCTGTTGCATTGATTTCTTTATTAAAAATATATTATTACAAAATATACTTGTATGTCAAATAAATATAAACTTTTATATACTTATTATGAATAAAGTATTAATAACTAGTGGCCTACAGGAGCAAAAATGCTGCTGAATAAAAACACACAAAATGGTTTTTCAAAACATGCTCATCACTCACACTGTTCAAGAACAACAAATAAAATACTCCTGTGTAACATTACAATAAATTAAATATTTTAACAAAACAATCTTCATAAATACTGCAATAACAGTATAGTGTATATACAGTACAACAGTTCTCTAAATACCAAGAGAGTTGTTTTGTAATGCAACTCTTGAAAAGCAAATATTTAATGGCAGCAGCCTCTTCCTTGGAGCCTTGCTGTCACATGATGTTAGCTATGTCGTAAGTAGCTAAGAAAATAGGCAGAATAACACAAATATTTACATTTTACAATGAAAATTGAAATTGTTTCATTGTTTGGGATTTTGCCGAGTTCCTGCGCATCTAATGAAACCATAGACACTTCTCACATAACCACAGACTGTGTAGTTCTTTTGTCAGTTTCTGCACGCATGGAAAATTAGTGATATAGATATATTATAAACTAATTAAGAATTATTTATTTATTCTTTATAGGCATCTTACAAAGCTGCATGAAGCAGTGGCTAGTATTTTGCCAGAAACTCAGGTGTTAAGTATATATAGAAGTGTGCATCAAGCTTTTAAAGCAAAGCTACGGGAGCAATTGCTGAAAATGAATATTGTTAATAATGGTGGGCCACAACATGGGTAAGTTTGAAGTTTCTTGCTACTGTCATGACAAATTGATTTAATCCACAAAATTTTCATGCTTATTATTTTAAATCAAAATTCTTTATGAAAACTCGAATCATAAACAAATTGTCAGTTTGTGATTTCAAAAATAACTGCTGCTTAGTAATCTCATATTCTTATTTAGATGATACAAAAGCCAATTCGTTTGTGTTACAATTTTTGTCTGTATGTCTGGGGATTAACTGATTACAATGCTACTTTCACTTAAAATGTGTTTTATCAGTAATAGCTTGGGCTACCTTCTTAAAAAAATTTTTTCTCTTATATGAAGAGGAACTTCTGTTTTTTCATACGAATACAGTTTCATTCTGACCTTGATGAAATTTTGAATGTGTGACCTTCGAAACAGAAATTTAACTGTCATCATGAGATTTCATAAAATGTTCCTCAATGCCCCCTCTGCTACCCCTTTGAACAAAATTGAAGGTGTTTTCTTTTAGGTTTTGGTGAATATTTTGAAAGGGGTGAGGAAATCCATTGTTAAACATTTCTGAAAGTTCAGAAAAGTTCCTACTAAATGCTTTGTAATGTTTTCATTCCAATAGTATCATTTTGCTGTGAGAAATTGCAAGTCAAAATTATTACTGGAATTTCCCTGGAGCATGCAACAATGCCTTTGTTTACAGCTACCCAAAGCTAGTAAAGTGGTAGCAAAGGTGATGGTAACAGCAAGGCACGCTGGGCAAAGCAAGGATGGTGTGAAGGAATAGTGGGCGCTGGGAAAGGCAGGCTAGGGAGGGTGTACACCATTGATTGAATTTATGTGTTGAATAAATTTCATAACTATTGTTTTATTAGCTTAGCATTTTCTACATAATTTGCAATGGACGCATTAAGAGAGTTTTAATGCAATGTTAGCACTTTATTTACCTGTCTGATATTGAGAACTGCAACACATGAATTATATTTCGTGAATGATAATGTCAAACATTTATTATAATAATTTCTGTCAATTTTTTTAGGGTTGTAACTGCTGAACTTACATTCTATTTGGAAGCACTGAGGGCTTTGAAGGTGCTTCCATCAGAAGAATTAGCAGATGAATCAATGAATGAAATATGGGATGCAAGGTAACACATGGCCTCTTAGTGTGCAGCCATGCAACAGTAGAGCTGCAATCCAATCATGAAAAACAGTACAGTTGGCTGAAACTTTTCAGCAAGTGTTGGGGATAATTAAATGGAGGCTATTTTTCCTATGAAGTTGACACTTCAGAAACTTTTTATACAGGTTATTTCCTTTAATATGTAAATAGGATGTTATTTAAAAAGTCAAGTCATAACTTCAACTTAATTTTGTGTTATAATCATGAGCATCGGTCATGCCAATTTTCTTTGATGTTTAAATCTTCTATTGTATAGGCTGTGATTTCATTTATTACTTTCTATGTACAGAATGGTTCTTAAATCCTCAAATGAATGTGAAGTCGTGAGAGTTAGGGAAGAGTAATTTGAAAGAAGATAGTGTATTGGTTTATAAATATATGGTTGAATGGGGATGTGAGTTCAGCAAATGATTCTTTTTCCTTTTCTTGTAATTTGTTAGCAGTATTAGTTTCAAAATGCTTTGTAATATTCCTGTCATAATTACTCGCTATAAGGTAATATTGTATTGGGGAAAGCTAGAGCTACAAAAATCTTGTAGCAAGTTATAAGATTAAATTTTGAAATATTCTTTTGCATTAGGGAAAGGTAATAGAACATATTTCATAATATTAAATCTGTGTTAAATAACTTATTTCTTCTTTAAAGATACATTAACAGTTCATGGAAAATTACATTTTTACTGTTGTAGCATTTTGTTCATCTAATTTGTAACACTTTTGTGTTAGTCAAAAAGAGTCCTCTCTCCATCTGTCCGGGTTTGTTCATAGAGGTGGCCTCACCAATTAAGTGAAAGATGTTGATCTGTTACCTGGTATTGTCAAAATAATTATGATCAACATTAATAATTTCAAGAATTAATGGGTAATTGTATGTCATTGGGACAGGTTATTTGAGAAACAACATATTTCGCATTTCAGTACCCTCATTTCTCTTTGATTAAAACTTCTCTGTAGCTGGTAGATAATAGTTTATGAAAGAGGAAATTGATCACTGTTCAGTCAGAGGCTTCAAATATTTAAAATAATACCAGAGGTCCAAAAGCAATCCTAAAAAAAGAATGCAATTCTGAATTAAACTTCCAGTTGAATGTCATAGTGCATTGTTATTTCTTGGTGCAGGTGATCGTCATGTGCAAAAATTATTTGGCAACCATATACAAAGTCATTTAGTATTGATTCTAAAGATAGCTGGGTGTATTTCAAATTAATTTTAGGTCTCTTTTTCTACTATTCAGTCTGTAGATTACATATCTATAATTGAAATGTTCACTTAATTGATGAAAAACAATTTGATTTAACGCAAACTAAGAAATGGGAGCAAAGATTCTACTTACTATTAAAAAGAATCTAAAGCAATTAAATTGGATTTTACTATATACAATTGTGATTTAGCTTTAATTGGCCAACATGATCTTTGCAGCCAGTTATTTGTATAGATAAATGTTATAACAAATTATTTTATTGTTGCTGCAAAAATAACCTTAAAGTATGTACTGAGATGAAAAAATTGTTGTTTTTAGATTTACATAATTAAAAGAGATCTGAGGAATAATATTTAGAAAACACCATTTGAAATATTACGCAGCTAATATTGAATAATAAACATAATTAATAGTTGTCAAACAAAATTAACTAGATATCTCAATTATCTTTATAGTAGTTATTGATATTACAACACTCCTAATTTGATCTCTCTCATTCGACTCGTCTACTCCATCTGTATCATAGAAATATGTAATTACACAGCGTTGAAATGGATATTTTATGTATTTACTTATAATATGTATATACTTATTATTTACTTATGCATTAATATTAAGCTGATTTCTTTGAAATAATTGATTAGATGAAACAGGAAAATTTCAAAGTGGAGTAACAGCCAAAATGTGTATTTTCATTAATTTCAATATTTTTTCTGCATTGAAGTTGAAAGGTAACATCATGCACTTATTTCTCAAATCATTTATAATTAACTGTTGCTATAAATCAGTACAGTACACCAGTGCGTGTTTACTCCTAACGAGTTCACCCTCAGTCACATTCTTGCTGCCCTAGGGAAATATCGTGTTCAGTTTTGTCAAAACAATTCTACAAGTATGACAAACAACAACAAGGAGTTTTTGTTTTTAAGTCACGTGTTAATAGAATTAATTTTTAGTAATACAATTCATGGCATCGTGGCATGAGATCAATTTCAAACAAGTTTGTCTTATATGCGAGTAAGTTGTGGCATATTTTTTACTTTTAATGTTTGCAACAGAATTCACTTTCTTAGAAATCCAATTTTTAAAGTATGCTCCTAATGGTGGAAGTACTGTGCAACTACATAATTGTTATAATTTTTAATGTAAAAGTGAGTTGTTTATGTTCTGTGTGTTAATTGTTTATTTTATTGTCACCCCAATTCCTGGGTTCTTTTTTATTCTTTTTGAATGCAATAAGCAGCACTTTAGTAGCAAGTGCATACTCAATTTCACTGAAAGAAGCCCTAATTTCTTTTGTTGTGCCAGTCCTTATGTTTGTAAGAGTTCCCGGGAAGAAAAAGGGAATCATATTCATGAATGAGTTATTACAGGTTTCATTTCTTATAAGGATTTTAAATGTTAAGTAAAACTGTTGCACAAGAGTACTCTGAAGGAAGTAGTGGTGTAAGAAAAAGTATGAAGTCTTTCATGATCACACATTAATCACCAAAAGACACTTGAATCAACTTAAATTGAAAAAATTGTGATATCAACTGAATATGTGTACTGCTATTAAGTACATGGAAAATAGAATTTTAAGAACTTTTCTTGAATATTCTGACATATGCAGAAGACTTAAATTTTTTTTTTTTTTTGAGTTTTATTAACCTATTGTTTAATTTATTGGAATTTATGCAAAAGGTCTTATATTTTGTTGTTTTTTTTGATCCTGCCCTTTGCATGGATTGTAAATTAAAATTCATATTCATTGATTAATTCATAAATTAATGTTCATGAGTTATGTTTAAAAATTGTGGTTAATTTTCTACTGGAGGTCGTTCATTTAAAATTGTTTTTTTCCTCTCGATTTACTATTTAATAGCCTTTACTATTAATATCTCTCTTAAAAAGTCCTTCATCTTTCAAAGTTCAAAATTTTTAAAATATACTTTGTCTATTTAGATAAAAGTTTATTAAGTGTCAAAGTATATGATGATGACATTGATTTTTCATACCTTTGCTCTTGCCAATTTGCATCTCTATGTTGCAGTACTTTTTTACATTCTTGCCATTCTATTTCTTCAGTTTTATTATATTTCCAGTATATTTTTTTTTTGGAAATTATTCAATAAGTAGTTTTTTTTATAAATATGCTGTGCTCGGGAACATTAAATAGCATTCCTGGCCAATAAGCCAATTATTGGAAATTTACTTTTATAATAAAAAAATTACTTTTTCATTCCAACAATGAGTCTGTACTGTATTTTAGGAAGTCAGTGCCATGCTTGTTACTTAAGACTGACTTATTCAAGAACAATTCCAATGGTTTTATGTTTATCTGTAGTTGGTTATTGTACTAACTTTTATCCTGAAATAACCATTGAAACTTAAGTCAGAAAATGTCCTTAAGCTTATTCTTCCACACAGCAATTTCAATGGTCAGACCATCCCTTTCAAGGATTTTGACTAAAACACTGGTGTATATCACAGACCTAATTCTTGCTCTACTTGACCATGATTCAATGGACCAAAAAAAGGAAAATCAAAGATCGATGAGGCATTATCAGAATAGTTAGTTCTCTTCAAGATGATGAAATATCATGCAACATAAAATTAAGTTATCAATTTCAAAATATTAGAAAGACAGTATTTTCAAAACTTTTTTTTTTCTTCTTCTTCTTCTTTAAAGAACTCTTGCCAATGATATATTTTAGATCTTATGATAATCCAAATTGTTAAGTATAACATGTCAGGTGACAGATGGCTGCATATTACGAACCATTACTTATTGTTAGTTGTTATTCTCTTATTTACTTTGTAGTGGAAAATATTGATTGAGAAAATTCTGCATTAATATGTATTAACAAAACTGGTTCTTAATAAGAAAATTATCAGTTGCTGAAAATCAATTGTTGCACAGTACTTTCAATATATAACACGAATATAACTTGAAGTCAGCATCATTGTATAGAATACTGCTCATTCTCTTGATGCTTACGTACTCATTAGTCAATTACTTTGTAAAAATAATAATGCTAGAGCAGAGAATAAGTGATTTGTTGCTGTAATGTAAATGTTCCCTTAGAAATTCTTACCTCTATTGTTGTTGATCTGAAATTTCGCTGTGAAGTGTGTAAAACAAGAAATTGAAGAACATCCTCTAATATAACTACAAAATATTTGAAGTAACTTTGTTGTTAACATTGCATTTTTGTATACTGTGTATTATTCAGTGTTCTGTGATTTACATTTAAACTTGCCTGAATGGTAAGCCTGTATTCCTACTGTGAAATATATCTTGGCACAAAGGATGTAAAGGTGATAATTTTAGAGAATTGGCTTTTTTAATGGTTGAGAACATGCTTGTCAAGGTTGATTTTAAAGGGAATATAAGAATGCCAAATTTAAGAGAAAGGCAATATGTACTATGTACAATTTGCCGTACAAACTAATGACTGAAGTTGCTGTTAATCTAGTCAGCAGAATCTGTTGTGTTGATTTCACTGTGAAACATTTCTACACTGGTAGTTATAATTCCATATATAGTCTGCATTATCAGATTAGGGTAAATGTTTAGTTCTCATTTTTGTTGAATTTCTTCATTAATATTTTACTTGTAAATGCCGGGAGTAAATTAAATGTGAGCAATTCGTGTAATTGTATGATTACTTCAATAATATCAATATCTGTAGTAAAAGTGTTCTTAACATTCCTGAAAAGTGTGTTTTTACATCCTGAACTTCTGTACTGTGCCCATGTGATATGTAAAATCTCTTCAGCAACAAGTGGCTGTACACCTCGGTTATCTATTTGACCAATTCCGGATTTATAAAAGTATTGTGGATGATAAATATCAGACAAATGTGCTAAATATTTATATTTATTTTTGTGAAGGAGCCATGTATAATTTATGCACATCTAACTTAAATTTTCATTTTATATTTTGTGAGTACTTAATTGATTTTCTTTTAAATCTGTAAATATACATAAGATTTATATACATACTATCCATTTATAGTTTTGTTAATAAATCAAATGTACTGTAGTTTAATCTGTCATAGTGTACTGGCTACATAATGTTTTGATTTTTTTTAATAACCGAAACTGGAATACATTGGGATGAATAACAAACAGTATATGTGTCTGGCCTTATTTGCCTGTGTGCCTGAATAGCACTATAAGGAAAAAGTCTGTTAAGGTAGAATTCTTTTACGGAAAAAAGTTTTGCAATGTGTTTTTCATAACACATTATTGGGTTTAAGATAATTTCATAGTGAAAGAAGTTGAATAGTTGAATTAAATCTTTCTTTTGTACTCTTCAGTTAATACTTTAAGAAATTGGATGCACTTCTGTGAGATTTTGTCATTCTCTACCAGCTGTGTTTACAGTGGTTGAGAAAGAGAAACCCATTCTTTCAAAAGCATGACTTATATTAGTGGATTCACAACATTTTTCAAATGTTTAAAAATGGAAGGAATATCATGTTATTTACTAAAATTTCTCTCACATTTGATTTTTTGACTACAAGTGAAAGTATCCATGTAACTTCACTCCGTTGAAGTCCGTTGTAGTACAGTCATTAGTGGAAAGTTATATTTTAGAAACAAAACATGTTTTCCAAGAAATTCATTTGGGTGCAAAGTTCAGAGAGCTCAAGAAATGTGTTCAGAAAGAAAAGGTGCAAATGTTTATTTTCAAATATGTTTAAATGTTTATTTACATTATAACTAACATGTAATATATAAAAGTTAGGTAACAAATAAGCAGTAATTATTTAAATTAGCAATAAATGTATTAAAATGTATAATAAAAAGTATCATTTCAAATTGCTACATGATATAAGCAATGCAATCTACAGGAAAGCACTTTTGGTACATCTTATGCTAGTAAAACAACTTGGAAATATTGTTCTGCTATTATCACGTGCATACAGTAAACAATTTTATTATGATGAAAGAAAAGTGGAAATGGGCAGTAGACAATGGTTGTTTGTACAACGAAGTACTCGACGAAATGTGTTTGTGAAGAGTAGCAGAGTGTGGTAAAATCTTGCCAGAGTTTTGTTTTGTTAATCTCTGCTTTCTGATGGAATTATCCAAATGTAAAAGTTAGTGCTTCAGAGGTGGGGGTTAATTTGATTATGAAGGCGATTTTCTTGATTTCCTACGAAGGAAAATTATTTTTGTAAGTCTTTGAAAACAAATTTATCATTATTGTTCCTTTACTGGGAACCTCCACACACACACACACACACGCACACACGCACACACCCATACACATAATAATCAAATAAAACTGACAAAATTATGAGCAGATAAACCTTTATGAGAAGTACCAAAGAATGAGACTTTTCTCCAAAGTGAAATTATTGATGGAAAACACATTGCCAATCTTCCTAATTGACGTTTCAAACCTTCGTATGTAGATTTTTCAAGCTTGCAGCATAATATAGGTACGAATGTGCAAAATTATGTAATATTTGTGTGAATATCAATGTGTGATTCTTAAAATAGTTGTCTGTTGTGAAAAATATGTACATAAGTGATGTGAATTTGTACATATTGTTGGTATATTTGCTTTTGTTTCAGTTTTGAGTACAGTTTCAATTCCACTGCAGAGATAATAGTTTCCTTGTGTTTAAGAAAAAGTAGTGTGAGTTTGAGAGTATGATTTGTTTGTAAAAATATACAAATATCTATTATATGTGTATATGGATGTGTGTATCTGTGTAGCTTTAAAGAAATGTAATATTTCATTCTTGTGCTGTTTGTGCTTCAATTGTTGGATTATGGATATTCTAACTTATTGAAGAATCACATCTGGGTTGTGACAGTGGTTAAAATTAAATTGGTGATCTTTAAATATGCATGTGGGGGACTTTTAAATATTTTATTTTGTTCATGTAATAGTGCATTATGTTATTAGAGCAATAATTAGATTTATTCAGTGTGTTTTAAAACTTATTCCTTTGTTTTTATTCTCATGAATTATATTGTCACATTGTTTTGTGAGCTGTGTGACCACTTAGTCATGAGTTCTTGGGGGGTGGACTTGTGAATAAAAGCCACAGTTGAGATATGTGAAGTTTTGAATTTTATTCTATTTAAGTCTTTGTCACATTTCAGTGTTGCAGTGTAGCTGGTCATAAGATCACTGAAGCAGCAATTCAGTTCAGTTTTACAAGTCGTACGACCAGTTTGAAACCATGCTTTCTTATTCTAGGTTGCTCTTGAAATTTTTCAGTTATGTTTAGGATTTCTTATTCACTCACTCCTTTGAAATCATTATGTGTATGAATCTGATATTATAGGTATAACTGCTCAGCCACACTGATGTTCAAATGAAACAGGAAAATGTATATATTAGTTGGTTCAGTATGTGAGAAAGCATTGAAATAAATGAACAGACTTTGGAAGGGTAGAAAATTTAAAAATTAGGGCAATAAAGTTATCAAAGAACAGAAATTTGGTTACAGTTGATATGATAGATAGAAAAATTGAAATTATTTTAAATCATTACTGCTAAAATACATTAGATGTTAATTGCTCATCTCAGCAGCAATTTTTGTTGTTTTTGTTTAAAATGTTTAACAGTCTGCCCTTATATTGAACATCAGGAAACAAAGTTAATAAGTAATTACCATTTACGTATTTACAAGTTCATGTTTAAGTGGTCAGACAGTATAGTTAAGTCAGTACAGTCAGACAGTAAGAGAGTTAGTTTTTTGTGAAGAAAAGTGTAGCTATGATGTCTTAGAGCTTCCAGTAGCAGATCACTTTATTTCTGCTATTTATAAATATATACATATATAAGTAGAATTGTGAAGAGTGGGGACAAGTATTAAATACACAAGTTATTCAGTGAACATACTTCTTGCCTATTGTCGGAAATATATTTGATTGGTCTCCTCTGTTTTGAGAGTTATTCTCCCACCAGAACATTGTTTTATAGCAAATGGACCTTTTAGCTGACAATAGTGCAAGTCCTAAACACATTTTTATTTTCAGTTCCTAACTTTTGATACAAGAAGAGAGTTTTATTCCAAAGAGCACTGAAAAAAAGCTTCGCAATTTGGATAAATATACAAGGATCCAGTTTAAGAGAAGAAAATTTACCACTTTCCAGGAAGTTTTTTACTATTGAATGCAGAAATGCTCCAGTGTGAAAAGGTGCAGTACCCAAGTATTAGACAACATTTTAAATATAAAAACTAGCTTATTGCCTTTAGTGTAATGTGTCTCAAAGTTTAAAGCTACAATCTCTACTGTCAAAAATTGTAATTTTTAAAATATTACATTTTTTCTAGAAAGGTGTAATTTCTACTCCCACTTTTGTTTTGCCAATGTTTAATTCTTACATTTATTTTGATTATCTCTTCATCCTTTTCTCTATGCTTGTTATACACAAAAACACTTCTGTGAAAATTAATTTGATGTCAAAGTGAATATCAAATGTGATGTATTATATTAACTTTTTCTATCTTCTCTCTCATTCATTTTGGAAACTTTTAATTGACATACTGTTTAATTTGAAGAGGAAATCATCTGATCTCTTTGACTTCTCCCAGGGTTGGTTGGCATTTGGGCCTTGTATTAAGGGGACTCAATTCTATGAAAATATTTTGTTACAAGTTTGTTTGAGGTACCATATCAACTGTCACCATAAAGTAAGGGGAAGTCCCAAGCAAGAATGAAGAAACTAGGAATTGAGATTCAGACTCACAATTAACACATTATGAAAACAATGTGTGTGGCTAATTTAGTGTTTGGTTCATTGGTTGTAGAGTGATATTAGACTTGACTAGCAATTTTTGTGAAAAGTACATGTATATTATTGTATATTTATTTAATTGTATATTTTTTTGTTCATTTAATGCATATTTATTTATTCTCCAAGACTTCATGCATCGTACACTCCTCTTTCTTCATGCCTAACTTTCCAAAATTTTTTTTGTAATATTGGAACAATTTACAATTTCCTGCAAAAAACAAATTCATTCAGTTTTGTTTTAAAGATGGTAAAATGAGTCACATCTGCCTATGGAGAAGAGAAGTCATAAGAAAACTAAATAAGAAAATATATGCTTTGGGTGTATCCTGTCTTGTTTCTTCCTATTCCTGCATAAGCATGAGAATATATAAAAACAATACTTTTCTGTTTTTGGTGATCACAATCCATCGTTGGTAATAATAAACTTGTTAATTGCATTCAATGAATGGGAAGTAAAAATTGACTTCAGCATGAATATTGTTTCCTATAGGTAGGAAAGTGGTGAAAGAGCGTAACAATTCCTGTGTTGCAGGAACAATACAAACAGTAGTGTAAATATTTTGCTGAATATTCTTTTTCTTTTGGGGAGAAATGAAATCAATCCCCCCCCAAGAATCAGTATTGATGAATTTTTGTTTTTATCCTCCCAAAATGTACAAAGTTTGATTATTAAATTTTCTGCAATAACTTTAAAGAAATTTTCTTCCTAAAAATTTGAGATTGCAGATTTGATGTGCATTTTGGGACCTATATTTGATAAAATCAAGTTAAATTTATATTTATACAAATATATTTTCTAAAAAAGAAAAGAGAGATTATAACCAAGATTACTGTTCTAATGTTTTAAAATAAATTTCATTTTAATATTTTACCCTTTTACTCATAAGGCATGTCTGAGATGACATCTTGAAATTATTTCCCAGCTCGGATTCCTACTTGTAGTGTGCTGTCCTAGAGGTCGGAGGTCATCTTTGAGATGAAAAACGAAAATGGCATTTTAAGTCCGGGTTTGCACTCTTCCCCCGTGCGTCATCGCGGCCATTGCTTCGAGCAGATGCATTGCATTTTATTCAAGTGGCGTTGTATTTAAACAGTATTGAACCCGTTTGGTATTTTTGCTATAACTTTACAATGATACCTGATAAACTCTACAATAAACTACAAATTCTGTTATATGATAGGAAGTGTGTAATTATATATGTACGCATATCAGCTTTGCTGCTGTCATATAATAAATAAATAAAAATGAAAATATATTTTCTTTAATTTTGAAAATCATGTTCCAAATTGACCTAGTTTAGCAGTTAAATTTATTGATAGTATAATTTTGGAAATAAACAACTAAATGAAATGAAAGATAACAATTATTTTATTTTTAATACAAAGGTCAATATACACAGAAATTTTTTTCATTCAAATCTCCTTTGGATTTTGTTTGGGATATTAAAATAGCTCATAACATCCACCTGAATGGAGGGACAGTGACCAAGACCAGAATGAGTGTGGCAAAACATTTTTGATCAGTAGTATTCATATACATTTTGACAGACTTATCTATTTTCTATTCACGACACAATCTCATTGTTGGAAGGAGATCTTATCTAGAAATATGAAGAAAATAAGTTGTCATCTCTGAGATGCCCTCTGACTGGATCACGGAATGGGCACTGCGAAGAGATGTCCTCCAACTTGTAGGGCAAACCACCTTCCTGAAAGCTCCGAGCAGATAGCTCTCAATGCCATGTCATTTTAAACATGCCTTCCAAAATGTAGGATGATCATATTACCAACCATATTATGTTTCCAATCGCAAAGGGTATATTCTTGTCACTAGCAGGGTTCCCAAAATATTCTGTTTATGTAGAGTCCAGTTCACAGAGTGCATAAATTTTCTTCATCAGACCTTTCTGCATGAGAACAGAACTTTTCCTTCCAAAATTAACATCATTTCTTTTTTAGCCATTTGATACTGACATACTTTATTACTTAGATATGTGTTTCTGTAAACTCCTCAAAGCATTCTGATCATGTTTTTCATTCATGAAAAAAATATTCTCTCTGTGTTCAGATTGCTGGCAACTAAAGTGGTTATAATGTTTCGGAAATACAATCAAGTTTTGAGCATCTCCAGGATGCACCATTTTAATGTACAAGGACAGCAGGGTGGTAATACTGTTATAGTTTCTTGTTGTTGTTTTTTTAAGTTACTATTGGTATTTCGTTTTTGGCAAAATCAAGTAAATTATTATAAATAATGATTACTGATGCTGTGATATCTGCAGAGCCATAGCAAAATATACAACATATTTTTATGAAATGTTATACAGTATGAAAACTCTTAAAAAATTGTGATATGTGTGTCTCAGATCATTTTAATACTTCTCTGTTCTTGTAATATAAATTGGTCCATTTATTTTAACTGAATTCATAATATGATTTGAAATAATGGAAATGGTGCAGTCCCTAAAACTTCAATGCTTAATTGAAAATTATGGTAGCTTATGATAGATGTATTCACAGATGTTTATGTGCCAAAATGTTTTTGTGTGAACATCATGAAATATATTTATTATTTTCTTTAAAGAAATTACTAAATGCTTGAATATATATACACACATACACACACTACACATATATATTACTAAACATATGATATATAAATTTTAAAAATTTTGCCCTAATCTATATTTTGGTAAAAATGTAGAAATTGTTCTCACTCTTAAATTTAAGTAAATAAATCTGAAATAATGTTCCACACGAAGACAAACAACCATTTAGAGAAAGACATAAATTACTTCTATAAATCATCAAATTAGCAATACCTAATATTAAGGAATAAAGTGCAGAATATTTTATACGGACAATTTCAGATAGAAATTCTCGTAATGGTTTTAAAACAATTCACCACAAACAATTTCAAATGGTTCTAGAAAAAAGGGAAAAAATGGACACCAGATTGTGTGATTGGAATTTGGGCATCTGCACATATTTAGTATAAGGCTTATGTAGGACAAACTTTTGTGATGGGACACTACAAATGGATATTAGTAAGGCCAGATTGGGAATTGTAGTTTCAAAATTAAGAACATGAAAAACTATAGTTGAGCAGCCAAGTGTTGAAGTAGATTTGTAGCAACTCTAGAAGAAGATCTGGCAATTATATAATAATGGAAAAATGCATGCATTGTGTAGTGCCATACATACTCAATGAATACAGCATTGTAAAGAAACATTTTTAAAGAGATTTTTCTTATGCAAATTGTATTATTTTAAATTTTTTTTAGGAAGATTAGAAGAAAATTTTCTAAAAACCTAAAAAATATTTTGAATCCTAAGTTTCATTTGCAATGCAATATAAATGGGGGGATTTTTTTTTAACATTATAGAACAACAGAAATTTCTACAGGAAGCTTTTGTTAAGTGCTCTGTATTTCATCGTTGCCAGGGAAACCAGAGGCCTGGAGCAGACAAAAGACACCTTCCCCTGTGCCTTGCAATGCATGAACAAAATTCATATCTCCATGCAACAGAAATAACTTTTAGTGGTTGCTTTATTAAGAGTAAATACATTTAATTTGTTTCAAATGGGGGGGGGGGGAATTTAGGACCCAATTAAGTTATAGCTGGGGGCATAGTGCTATTCCCTCCCTCCTTCCTTCTGGGCACCCCTGATCATTGCTCAGTTAGCAATTGATGGAAGGTGGTTATAAAAATTGGTAATGTGCATTGCATTCAACCAATAAGCTATAATGTTCATGGAATACAAGTAGGATTGATTTTAGATAACTCAGAAATTAAAACAATTTTTCAATCCTCAATTAAGCTCATTTTAGGCACCAAATCTTCAAACTAAGGGCAACTCCTTGGAAATCCAAAGGGATTATTTTGGGAACCCTGGCTCTTTAGTATATATTAAAATTGTACTAGCAACTTTACAGATTATGTTTTCTTTTATATTTTTTGCTTTTTTTGTTTATATCAGTAATATCAATGTATGTCTCATCTATCTTGTTATTTCATTTCATTCTTTGAAGTAGTCTTTAAATATTTTAATTCAGTGATGTTACATCCTTAAACCATTTTTAATGTTTGTTATAACTTATATTACTGAATAATGTGATTTGATAGGTTTTGGTGTATGTAAAACTGAAGTGGATTATTAGATTTTGAGCTCCTCAAAGTTATGAAGGCCACCAGGGAATTAACATCTCTAGCAATTTGTTGAGCATCAATGTTAACATTGCTTTACATTGTTGCATTTCAGTGTGAGAATAGTTATTAAATTTGAAATTTGGAGAGTTTGTGAAAAATCAGTTGTATTCAATTCTTGTTGAATATGAACTATTAAGGTTATGTCATCAAAAGACTTTTATGTATACACGCATATACATACACATATGTATATATAAGTTGTGTTCAGAATCTTTGGTAGTAGGTGTGGTTGAGTGTATAGTTAAAAACATCTGTGGTGTATGTTTCAATTTAAAATTTTATTAATTGTTTAAGGAGAGACATTTACATTGTGAAGTTCACTTTATACAGTTAAAGCTTATATTTATTGAATCTAGAAATTATGGAAAAATATAATGTAGGAAATGTGCACAATTTGCACATTTCAGATTCTTTCTTTTCCTTAAGAGAAGAGAATGACTTCCTTTAATTCCATCCACAGATTCAAGTTATTAAAGATCATTTCAAACTTAAGTATCATCATTTATGCAGTTAGATGTAATTCAATTAATTATTTATCTTCACATTCGTATTCTTTTAATGGTATTTTGCCATTGAGTGAATATTCACTATGTGAATCACCCAAGATACCAGAATCTCTGATGTAGAAATGTGATAAGCACATTAAACATTTTACTGTTCAGAGCATTTCTTTATTTTTCCTTCCAACCAGAATAGGCATTATTACTAAAAGAAAAGAGACGATATTGCCTTTTTCTGAATCATGCTTTCAGAACAAATATTACAGTAAGAAGAAGAGAGACATGACTGTTTTATTTATAAAAGGACTTCTAATAATCTTGTAAATACATAAGGTTTGAAGAACTTTGCAACTAAAATAGTGAAAATTCTTTCATTAATGTTTAGTGTTATGAAATAATTTAGTTTCTGAAGCACAAAGATGCAAATATTAATATTCTTTGATTTTCTTTTGAAAGACTGAAAAATTGAACATGCAATCTTCATAAATTGATCAAACATGCTAAATAAAATTCCTTAAAGGTATTACATTTCCACCCTCATGAAAACTGAACTTGCATATCACGATTTCTTGTATTGTTCATCTCATATAAAATGAAGAAATATTTTTTGGTTGCGTGTCATAAGGGACATTTTTTAGTCAAATATAGTTGGTAGCAAGAAGAGTAAAATGCCTTCAATTTCAATGCATCATTTGCTTTTTGAGGACTAATGATTAATGAAGATGTATAATGGCATATTTCTGAAAAATGTTTAAACATCACTTAATTTAAGACATGTTCTTAGACAATCCCTTTCACGCTTATTCCTTTCATTATTTTTTATGCAAGAATACAATTTGTAACTTTTAAGAGAAGTATTGTTGGAAGATAGTTGTTAGCATCTAATTCAATTTCTTTAATAATAAAATAATAATTACTACTTCATCTTAAATTGGGTGAACAATTCTTCACAAAAGTATTGTTATTGCCTCTGGAGATGCCTTTTCATGTTTTCATTCACACCATAATTTTCAATCAAAATACCATTTCATAGAAGCTGCATGAAATAATTTTATTTTCAACTTTATTATTTATATTTATTTTGTTTTTATGCAAGTATATTTTCTGAATACTAGTATATACATATATTATTTCTACAAAAATAGTATAAAATTTGAAAATGATGAATTAATTATGTTTTATACCTTATCTTATAAATAGATAAATTTGAAATGTATGGTCATTAATAAGTAACTTCTTGATAATTTCTGTGAATAGATAAGTTTGACAAGAACTAATAATCGTATGTATTATACTGCAGTGAGGTTGCGTATAATTTCTTCGAATAGTGATATGCCTTTTAAAAATACTTTTTCATATATAAATTCATCATGATCATGTAATAAGATTGGGGTATTGTTCAGCACACACATACCAATAGCAGGAATCTTCAACTGTAAAGAGAATTATAATTATTAATAGTGTTTCAGGGTTTACTGAAATTCATCTTCGTTGATCTTGTTAAAACTGGAACATTAATTTATATATTTTCATTTAGAGAGTAATTTCAGAAAAGTTCACAATCGTTATTTTCCAATTGATCTTTTTATTATAAATAGTGTTTTTTCTTTTAATGACCATTAAACATAATTAACATCTTTAGAAATTGTAGTCATTAAATTATCACTTACCCTCCTGATAAAGCGGGCATCTGTCCCACCAGGACATATAATGGGTATTATCTTCTCATTCCTGAAAAGAATATGAACTATCATTGTATTTTCTTCAAGACCTGGCTAACGGTACATAAAAGTTCATTTGGATAATGAAACATAGCTCCTCCCCCCTCCCTCCCCAATTCAAAATATGAAAGTTGTATCTACAAACTAAATTATTCATTTTATTTCAACAAATAACAAGAATTACATTTAGGCTAGAAAAAGATTTTGGAAATATATTTTCAATAATAGTTTTAAGTAAAAGTATTTAGTAATCAAATATTACAATTTCTATGGTGAGCTTAAAATGTTAAAAAAATTTGTGTTTAATAAAATCACTTGTTAAATACATGAAATAATAAATATGAATTTCAGAAGAACCTATTTTAATGTAAACGTTGTTTGATTCATTTCATAGAATCCTTCCTTACAAGTAATAACTATAATTAACTATTTAAAGTTGAATTGAAATTAATTGAACATTCTATAAAATATCAGACTACTGTACCGCACCTTATAAAATTATGATAATGGTTTTCTCGAGTTCTAATTTCTTTTTCAATTTTTTAATAATTTTCCCCCCATCAATCCCATTATTGGGCCCCTTGACTTGAGGCGCTCCAGGCGATCACCCGGTCTGCCCATACCTAGCGCTGGCACTGATCACTGTTTGCTACTAGATGGCATTGGCAATATCTCTGTGCGCTATGGAATGGTTACTATAATGGTTATAGTATTGTGAAAGGTGTAAAACCAAATTCATGCCTCAAATCTTTACATATACAGCAGTAAACATTGATGACTTCAGCATTGCAGCACAAAATACATAATTTGTTCACCAGAATTTCATACAATGATAAAACTTTAAATACCACAATAAACACAAAAAAGCGTACGGCGAATATTTATTTATATTTATTAAATAATCCTCTTACATTTATAATAAATAATATGTTGAAAAAAGTATCTTGAGGTGTATCAAATTGTGGTTACGTTAGTGCTCAAGTTTTACTCACTTCGTGGAAAATTAGGAACATTTATGGGATTACGTTTATAAACATTCTGGGACTTTATTTGATATTTGTCATAATGGTAAATAATATGGGATGAAATGCAGTTTCTAACACGATTCGTACGCGCAACTACGAATCAATGAGCCTAGTGTAACCGATCCTCGATTCAAACACTACCTTTCCATGAACATCGCCACAGAATTGCGACATAAAACCCGCCAGTCACCTGATCTTTTCACCGACCTATCCTTTGCTTTCGACACAATCAATCACCAAATTCTTCAGTTCAAATTAAAATCATACCTTCCAACTTTTGCTCTAAATCTCCTATCTAACTCTCACAACTTTCAAAACCAAATATCTCTCACACTTCTCCCCCCATTTCTGCAGGAGTTCCACAAGGTGCAGTTCTTTTTCGTACTCTCTTTTCAGTCCATCCAAACGATCTTCGCTCTTGTCATGGCATTTAGCATTTTCTTTACAAAGAAAACTTGTCCCTTCTCTCACCCCATCGTTCTTCTCAATATTCTATTAACAATCTTCAAAATGCAGCTTATACAATTTACCACTGGTTCCAAGAAAACTATCACTGTCAACCCTTCAAAATGCCAAGCTATCATCTTCAACTGGCAAAACTGCTCACGCCCTTTCTCTCCTATCACCATCAACAGCACCCCGTCCCCTGGTCCTAAGAAATAAAGTATCTCGGCATCACATTCAAATCAAAATTAACTTGGACTCCCCATCTCAACCCCATCATCTCCAAAGCAAACCAAAAATTCATCCAACCCATCCTCCGCCATCCTTCACTTTCAATTTAAACACTCTCCTCCTGTATTATACTTGCATCAGATCCATCATTACATACGCCTCTTCCATTTGGTCAACAATCCCCCACTCATCACAAAAACACCTCAAATTTCTTGAAAAACGCGTCATCCGCTTAATTTTCCATCTTCTTCCCGGCCCAAACTACATCATCTTCCGATCCCAATACAACATATATTTATATTTACTTTCCCAATATAGTTTCAACTCGTCCCGCAACACGGTGCAGCAGTTCATAAACAATTCTATCTTTACTCATCTCATCCAACCTCACCAACACATTTTCAACTCCCCTTCACATCATTTCCGAGCACCCCTAGATATCCTTCAACTTCCTCCCCCTCTGGGCTAAAATTACCAAACTAAGACTCACAGAACGCCATGACAAAATCCTCAACAATACAAACCCTCTAAAAAACTTCCTACTTAATTCCTACACCATCAAATCTCTAATAAAATAACTTCTCTGCTCTTCCCGACTTCGAATCGTTATCGAAATGAAAAGATACGGACTGATAGATAAATGTTTCCCAGAGAACAGTACTTCTTTATGCAAATTTGTGACATGAACTAGAACCCCCACATACCGAAAGAAAACAAATAGGGCCGTAAATAGCAAACGTGGCACGAAATACAAACATCGACACCTGTACAATACAACCAATAACTTATTAATGCTCTAAGAAACCCGTCCTTGGGCGTGACTGTATTTCCATTTAACTTTAAATTGACAGGAAAATGTTCGGTCCCTCGATCCTTCTCATGCAACAACTTAGCGATCTTGCTCCAGACTCGTTTGCGGACGAGAATCAGATGAGAGTCGTCGAGGGTACTTGCTGGATCGAATAGGGCCCAACCATCGTATAAAGACTGGCTCTTGGACCGTGGTGTAAATATTTAACACTTGTTCCCTTGGTTCTATAGTAACCACGAATGAAATTGCTAGCCAAATTCTAAACATGGCGCACGCGGTAAGAAATACAGCATCTTCAGAAATACGTACGCATTTTCCAAAGCTGACTTCAGAGCTAACCACCACTTGTTGGATTGGTTCAGTTCTGTTACTCCTTCTACTTCTCCTCTCTGTACGATTCGTAATTCTGTGTCGCCTGCTTCATCACACCATCCTTGTACCATTTTGACAAATTCGTCGTGGTCTTTTTCTGGGGAAATTCTTACGTCTGCAACTATCGTAATTTCTGGCGGTACCACGTTGTTTTGCACTCCTCCCTGAAACAAAATTATCGGAATTATTTCTCTATTATTGGAATTAGGCACTGTCGATGCTGCTGGTATTACAATAAACACCAATAGAATAGATAATTAGAAATTAATCCCTTACTCTAGATAGACAAACAATTTCATTTTCTATTCCAGAAACTGGTGTGTATCGATGCAATAGTATTTACAAAGGAACATGGTCTTTATTTTAAAATAATCGTTAAAAACGTAGGTATTTATAGTATGTATTGTACTTAAATGTACATTCGTAATAATAGGGAGACGTTTTTGGAGAAGTTTTTTTTTCAGTCTTCGTAAAATATATTAGTTTAGTTAATGTAATTATTTAACTGTACCTAGTATGTATCCAATTGAACGTTAATACTCTCCAGTTTTGCGCCTTATTGAAAATCATACAGACTCGATCCTAAATCAAAATGAAAAGCAAAGAAAGCACTAGAAGAGCGTCCAAATTTCATGTTCAACGTTATAGAATATTTGCACAATAAAGATAGAATATAAAAATGGCTAGATATGCAGTAATTCATTCAATAAATAAACGATTCAATTGAATGAAATCTAACTTTAACCAATCCATATTTTGAAAGAAATATGCCAGACCTAAGTGAGTAAAGTTGAGAAGAGAGTTGTGTGGAATTCGCCTCTAGATGGTACTCCGCGGAGGCTGAATTACACGTAGCTAGTGTCGAAAAACCTACAACGCACCGGCAGGACTGGAACCCTAGAACCTCCCGACCAAGCAACGATGCTGACGGACAGTCGACTGGATGCTACAGCACGGAAGACAGTTCTGAGCACAGCAGAGTGCCCTGTCTCACTTGCCGGCTGCGCTCCAGGTTTTAGACAGGATGAAGATAGTAGACGCGTCAATCAATCATCGCCATTAGACATATATATATACGCGCAATGTTACATCCCTGTACAGGGCCGCCTTAATGCATGTTGCTACCTCAAACTTTTATTTGTCGCATATGTGGTAAACTTTTATTAAATAATAAACGTACATTTTCCTAATAAAATTAAACTTTTATTGAGTAACATATATGCTTATTTTTATCGAACGAAATAAACCCTTGTATTTGAAATTCGCAGAATTTTAAAATATATTTTTCATTGTTTTTAAAAATCCTTACATGACTAGACAAGTTTATTAATTTTTGACGGGCCTTAGTGGCTCAGGGCATCAGTTGATGACACTGCACCCGCAACGCCTCTGACCGGGAGATCCTAGGTGTAATAGTGTAGTGCGCGTGAATGTATGAATGAACTCACTTTTTTCGCCATTTACATGGAGAGGTTAGATCTCCGATGCTCTTCGTGAAAACATATGCTGACGGGGATATGGGAAAGGCGAATAGGAATAATTATTACGAAATCTGTCAACAAACTGTCAAACTTTTTTTCGATTTCAAGGTCTCGTGTACATACTTTTATTAAGATTAGAATGTAACTGTAGATTTATGTGAAGAACCAAACAAAAATATTGTTTTCTCTATATAATATAAAATAATAAACTGAATAAAAACTAGCCGAAGTTATACCCCATAAAATATCTTGCAGTGTAAACCGCATATAAATCTCTTTTGCCAATCCAGAGATTACGACAGGATAAAGAGACAGACAAAAAGCCATAAAAAACATTGATTTTCATGTCATCTAAATAAGCATATTCGATTTATTTAGTCAAAGTGCAGTGAAAACTGTATGTGACAGAAGCAGAAGAGGTACCATCGGCACACGTTTTCTTGGGCCCCACAATCCCTTCCTAACACTTTAACTTTAAACAGTTGAAAGATGAATACAAGTTTAAAAATAAAGTAAATATAATAATAATAATAATAATAATAATAATAATAATAATAATAATAATAATAATAATAATAATATCCCGTGTGGTGCCGGGTATTTTAGTAGATTAGCATCACGGGACCTCCCCCTGTCGTATACGGCGACTAATTAGAGCAACTGTCCGCTGTCTATCCCCTAACCATCTCGTTATTCCCACAATCTTGGTGTGTCATGGCTTCCACTTACTTGTGGCACACTTCTGTTTTCTGTCCTGTAGGCCAATCTTCGCATCGGCCAACTCTTGTGTTTCCGCTCCGAAGCTCTGAAGTTATGAGGGCTAGGGAGTCGTTTCCATTCTACCCTTTTATTCTAACTCTATTCTTTCCTGGCCCCCCTTTTTTCTTCCGTTTCTTTAAGATAGCGGTAGCTCAAAACGCTAGGGGAAGGTGACCCTGAAGAAAAAACCCAAGATGGAGGATCTGTCAGGATCGACAGTTACGGTGCATGGGATCGGAGCCCCAGTACCGGCGGTCGGTGGTGCGCAAGCAGGCCACCAGGTGTCGTCACCCAGCGACTGCAATGCCAGGGGTGCGGATCACTCCACTAGCAAACTTCGCGGGACTCGTATGGAAGTTTGCTACCCTATGGTTGAGCGATCCCTTAAAACCCTCCTCCAGAAAAAAAGCCCTGTGCTCAATGCAAAAAGAATGAAAATTGGAAGAACCATAAACTCTGATGACTTGTTCAAGAACAATAACTAACAGCGGCACTAAAGTACCTTACAGTTACAAGAAGAAGGAAATTTCGATAAAGTACGCACATTTCTAATAGAGAAGAGTATTAGCGTCTGTGCTGAATCTGCCGTAAGAGATATAAAGAAAACTCCATCTGGACTATTGATAGAAACATTCAATGACAATCAAGGCAAACATTTACTATAATTGAGTAAAATAGGCACTATAGATGTTGGAATAAGTGCTCACTGCACTCTGAATACCTGCAAAGGTGTTATAGTTTGTAGTGACTTACTAAACTTCAGTGAAGAGGAAATAGTTCAAGAACCAGCTTCTTAAGGCATCATTGCCAGTCGTAGGCTAAAAATGAGGCGGGATGGGCAGATAATACCTTTAGCGTCCCATGTATTGACCTTCAAGCGTTGTACGTTACCAGAGAAGATTAAAGCCGGCATATGTCGTCTGACCGTACTCAACCAATGCACTGCTTTCATTGCATACCTTTCGGACACACTGCATCTATATGTGCGAGAATCAAAGTATGTCATTACGGAAAGCCATTTCATGGTGCTGATCCATGCGTAGATACTATCAAATACATTAATTGCAGTGGACAGCCATCATCAACGTCAAGGGACTGCCCAATAAGCAGGAGGCAGTAATACACGTAAAAACCAGACAAAAGATCAGCGATCCTGAAGCAAAAAAACTTGTGTGTCGTGAAAATAAGCAGTTACTAAAAGCAAATTTGCCTGTATTGGTAGTGAAAGAACTAATGCCTGCAATAACTCGCTGTTTAGAAAATTATTTTAATGAAATTCACAACCACAAAATCAACACAGACGACTTACCTACAAACACTGAAAGTGAAATAGTAAGTGAAAAGCTACCTTCAAGACCCCCACCAAATGCTGCAGAAATAAATCCAGTGGCTGCTTCCGCAGCCACATCCAACAAAGACGTATCGGCAAAAGGCTGTCTAAATTGATAGTCTCGTCCTCGAAAATACACTAAGGAGGACTTCCTCAAAGAAAATAAAATCATCCATCTGAAAATCATTCCATTTGTCTAAAAAAAGAACTTGGTTCTAAAAAATTACAACTTTAAAAAATGTCATGCGCAATTTTTGGTCAAAACCGAGTAGTTTTTGCGTAATTTCTGTTTGAAGGTTATGCAATATATAAAAAAACATTTTCTCAAAAAACGTTTCAAATTTTTTCTTCAAATGTTTGAAAGAATAAGGGACAATTAACAGAATGTCGCAAGTCTCATTTCGTTGAACTCTCTGGATTTTGGAACACTGTAAGAGTTAGAAAAGGGGCGTGGTACCCTCTCCAGACTGTGAGTGTGGTGCCCCCAGACCATGGAATGGATTCCAAAGTTGGATGTGCCACTACAGGGACTAATCTTTTATTGTTGTGATGACACATTGTGTTGTATTGGACCTGCATCTGTTGTATTCTAGGCCGTGTGCACTTGCCAGAATATAGAAATAATGCTATAATAAATATAAAATGTTATAAATAAAAAATTATGGTTGTTTATCTGTTTGCTGGAACTATTATAAAAGCATCTGTTACGTGAATGTAATAATAAGAAATTATGCGTTTACCAACTTACCTTCCCACATCAAGGGGAGGCCAAAGTCTTTAAGTAATATAATAAGCTTACATTTAGTCCAAGTAAAATTCCATCCATTTTGACACAACACAAAACTAGACGCAAGTGGAGAAATCAAGTTTAAAGTTCCAGAAAAAGTGCTCAGTTTGACATGGAATGACTCAATACTACTCAATACATGCTGAATAGGTTACCAAACTAAGTACTGAAGGAGTATTGAATTGAGTGCATTCACGAATATTGAGCAATAAAAAACATATTTTAAACATATTTGTACCTCAATTTCTATGTGTTAATAAACAAACCAAAATTCAACAAAATATATTGTTGCGTTTCATACGGTTGCTTAATAATTCAATATTAATTTCAACAAACATTTATTGTTAGAGTTGTTGCATTATTCTATTTTCTTTTCTATATTTTCTAGAAGTTTATTTTGAAGAATATAACAGATCATTACCTGAAGCATTGTAACATTCACGCAAGTAACCTTGCCCTGGTCCATCAATGGATGTTTGAGTCTAGCTTTTTCACTCTCTCGGTAATCTAATAGCCTGTCCAAAATTACTCTCACTCTTTGCGCAGCTGGGTTGTCCATCAACATTGAGCCATGTCCTGGATTGCCGCGACAGATGAATTCCAGCTCTGGAAATCAAAAAGTACAATTTAATTGTAGAAATTATGTCTGTCTTCACTGTCTTAATTGCTCGTCTAACTTTTCAAAATTGTCCATCTTAAATGTTCAAGGTAATATTTTCGTTCCAGAAATGTAAAGTGTTAAAATCACAAGAGTGTGAAATTCACTTTTAGAAAATAGTGCAAAGGACTAGTAAAAATGAAACATTACATGTATAAGCCTCAACAATGAGTGAAGTATTGTGAAATAATTTAAGCATAAATCTTATTAAATTACAATGTATGCCAATATACTTGAAGTAATTTTCCCGTCACTCACCTTTATAAACCGAATTTACATCTTACTTTCTACCTGAAAGGGGTGTTCTTCAATTGTCAAGATATTCATACACTTCATAATAAATTAAAGCTACTTAACAATATAGTTACTTACTCCAATTACTTCTCTCTCCATTAAATATAACTATCTCATCTCCTGGCCACGCCATTCCTTCATCCATTGCAAAGCCCACATTCAACTCTGCAAAGGTTTCTGTCTTCACGAAAGCTTCCATTCCATCTACTCCTCCTATTTCCTCATCTGAAAGGTAGATAAACACGAAATACATGACCATAATAAGTATGAAATATTTTCTGTCAGAAACATTAATTTCATGGTGGTTTTGTATTATTTTTGTTTGAGTTATCACGTTGAATTCCTAATTTGTCTCACAAACGGGCCGCATGAATGTTATATATTTTTATTAAGCAAATGGAAGTAAAGACATTTATTTCCAAGAGAATATGAATTACAGGTACCTACACAATTTTAAAATTTCATATATTTATCGCAAAAAACAGTAAAAACCTATGTAACGTACTATCGATCGATTGACCGATGTTTCTAATCACACCAATTAGTACAGTATTCAATCCCGTTAGAATAGTGGATGTTTTTATCCCGGGGGTGAGGCGGTGTTCCTTCCCAATTTGGTCGGTGAGATCGGTGCCGAACTGCATTCTGCTTGCGGGAGTATTCCCCTCCAGGGCTCCCCTCCCAGCTGGGCACCGCCCTTGCCGGGGCAAGCGCGAAGCCCTCGATATGCGTGGGAGCGTAGTGCATGTGTGTGTGTGTGTGAGAGAGAGTAAGCGGAGAGGATCGGACAAGGAACAGAAGGAAAGATCGCATGGAAACGGGAGGTCAGAGGTGGCTAAAGCCCTGGTGGCCCCTGGACCTACGCTCACAAGCCTACATCATTAAATACCAGGCACGTCCCCCTGTAATGGGGTACTCAGGCAGAAGAGCGTTGGAGAAGGCGGTCAAGAGCGGAGTGTAGTCAGGAAGTCCAGTCTTCCTCCTCACTGTGGTGGTAGCCCGTTGGATACTCTCTGCGGCAAAGCTCAGAGTAGCTAATGAGAGATGGCGAGGCAGTCTCCGACGCCTAAAAACGGGAACATTGTGGGCTAAGGGAAGGAAGACCCTGACAGAAAACCAAAGGAAAGAGGTCTCCATAGGTGTGGTGCAACCATCCTCCCTAGGGAAGAGTGTACCCCCAAGAAACCCGGGTTCTCTAGGTTTGGGGGTTGAGGCGTTATTAGTACCCCAACACTCGAAAAAAATATATATATACACACGCGAAAAGAATTATATCTAATGGGGACCTAAATCCTCGAAGAGGAAAAACAGAAAACAATAAGAGTAGCGAGGTATGGGGAGGAGGTGTGTAATGAGAGTGGACAGCGACTGATAGACCTTTCTGATTCTCATGGTTTAAAAATGGGTACTTTCTCCTTGTGGAAATTCATAAGTTTACCTGGTTTCAAACATGAAAACATCTAAAATCTATTATTTATTATCTGATCCAACGACATTATTCGGAGCTGACAACTCTGCAGCGCTTTTTGGAATAAGTAAACATTGCTGCGAAGGGAGGAAAATGTGCAGAAATAGCACAACCACATATACAGACCCTTTTATTCCAACACTTTTATTCCTTGTCCTACGGACGCCGCATTCAACGCACACGAAGAAAGGAGCAAGACGCACTGAGCTCGTTGGTGTTCAAACTAGCTCCAGCGAGTGACCGAGCGACCACCACTGGTAAAACTGGTGAAAACGTTAAGACTTTAATTAATGGATCCGTCTTGGACCCTAAAACTGAGCTCATGAATCTTGAGGTAAACAAAGGCATCACGGCATTGGCGGCTTGTAGGGAAGTGGCAAAGTGCAACGACATTACCAATGAAAAAGAAGGAAAATACAGATTTTACCACAACTACGAGTATGTGTATAAAATATCGCTTCTTCAAACGAGCGTGTAGTTCTTCGATGCTCTATCAATACTCTGTACAAACGCCCAGGGCGGAGTGCTATCTTCCGGCCTCTTTCTAAACCGCTGAGCCACGTACGGATTGGCTCTTTATCTGCATTTAATGTAAAAAGAACGCTGTGTTGGATTGTATGGGTCTCTTTTGGATTTCATGGAGCCAAAATCGACCTGGCGCATTAGTTTACGTTCGCACCGTAGCGGGCAGTAATGACTTCTTAAGATTACAGTAAGCGCTCAGGCTTTCAGGCTGGGTATTTAATGTTTTATTATTTTTATTCAATCTTCATTATAAATTAATATACACGGTTACTGTAAAATTAAATTTTGTTACCCACGAATTTAATGTTAATGATTACTAAACTAGCTTTAAAACAGATGGATTTTTATCTATGTTTTATTAACATCGAAGTTTTATTTTGAACATCGATAATTGTTAACACTCTTTACTGTCCATGACTCATCACTGTCTGGCACCACCAAAAGAATTCTGTACTGACCACCACTGCATCGCGGCAAGTATTTTCCAAATCGTTAGATTGGCCTGCGTGTTCATTTTACAAAATTGAAAATATTTTTGAGGTTACAAAAATTGTTCGAGAAAGTAATTCGCTATATTTAGGAACAAGTTTACGTTACTAGAGCCCGGCAATAAGAGTTTTTCTATCGAAAATTACACGATTACAATACTTTGTCTTGTTACGAAGTAAAGACGAGAAAGTAAAAGAAAATCTACGGAATTCCTATGTGTAATATAGAAGTCGTAGTTACATGTGTGCAGATTGCCGTGACAAGTATGAATGAAGTTTTGCTTCTAGTCTTTCTGCTGCAAGAGTACTGCTGCTCGCATACAGACGTACAGTTACAAAAACGGGGGTCACTTCAAACATTCCAGATTACTAGAACATTAGTTTTCAACTAAAAAGTGCGAGCGTTTTATGGTACGTAAGAAATCAGCAATTTCCTTGTGTTTGATAAGAATATTACGCGTATGACAAAGAGCTTCACTTCTTGAATGTACTAAACATTCAATACACTATGTGGTGTAGTTTGCATTCGTGTGTTAATATTATTTGTTTTGTTTTACTAATTTATCAGCTGTTCCGTTTCCACCAATTCCACAGAAGGAAGAGATTTTCCACAGAATGAAGAAAATGTTGCTATTTGTTTTTATTTTAAAATTCATGTAATGCTTTTTCATATTCAATTTTCGTGTCCTAATGCTATGATATGAAACTATGTTTGGGAGGTCATTTATGTGTCACATCAAGTAACATAACACAAAAATTAAATGTACAGTTAACCGAGTTGATTCCCATTATTCACAATGCTCATATTAATTTATTCCCACATTCTGTAATGATACTTTTCCTTCCCCAACTGCAAAATGGCATGAGGTTTGCAATAATATTTCGTTTTGTTTTCATTATGTTAGACTTTCTTTACGCAAAGCTGACGCTACAGAATAATAGTAGATTGTGGTGTTTCGCAGAGTAACGGAATGTAAATAAGGTTGTTGATGAAGTGAGCGCGAGTACATTTGTTTACCTATCACTCGCGCTTTCCCTGTTCAGTCAGTTACGTATAAAATATTGTAACATCCAAAACATTTGCCCAAAAATCAATATGTAAAAGTTATTTTAACGCTTTTTGGGCAATTTGAGGTAAATACAAGTGACATTGTTTTTTGAGGTGGCATGCACGTAGATATTTCTGAACGTTTGTTACAAACAAAAGCATATAAAGCATGCAATATATTCGATTGTCGACAAAACCGCCATAATATAAAATGTTATTATTACTATCTCAGCATTCTTTCTCCTTCTGGAGAGAAACTACACTAATTCCGGTAATGGGCCAAAATTGTCACATACCTGTAACGCCTACAAGGCTGCGAAACGGCCTCATTCGCTATTTCATTAACTTAAGAATTTGAGGAAACAATAAATTCAGTTTCTAAAAGTTTTACTTCCCTGGTTAAAAAAATATTTCACATTCAGGCTATGTGATCTACATCTTCAGAGTGGAAGCCCTTTACTGTCGCTGGATAACGATCTTTCTTTTATTCAACGCAGACTAATTCAGTGGTTGAAACAGCGTTGTGTCACGGTGATGAGTTTATTTATTAAGAATAGTACGTGTTCTCTTATTCAATGATACCTGCTTCAGTATTTGACTCCATAGGACGTATACTGATTGTGAGAGACATTATGACGTGACAAATAAGATTTACGTGATAGCAAGTCCATTAGAAATAGTTTAAGTGTCCGGATTGATTGTGCAGATCCTCCAGTAATTCAGCTCCCATTTCACGGCGCTCGCGCCGTTCTCACCTGGAACGAATGTGATGTGAACAGTTCTCTGCGGCTGGAACCCCTCGAGGCGCAGCCGTCGTACAGCTTCCAGGTACTGCACAGCGTTGCTCTTCATGTCCTGCGAGCCACGGGCGTAGATTTTGCCGTCTTCCGTCCGCTCGGCGCCGAAGGGCGGGTGAGTCCACTTCTCCTGTTTAAGCAAAAATGAACAGCGCGTGAAAGATGAAGTTTTATATTACTACTTATTATACTAAATATATAGGTCCGGGTTCGATCCCCGGGCTGGCCATCCTGACCGGGGTTTTCGTGGTTTCCCTCAGTCACCAGGCGAATGCTGGGATGGTTCCAAAATCCCATGGACACCTCCCTCTACCCCACCTAACACCTCCTAGTCCTTTCACCCCTAATCAGCGCCCTATAATAATAATAATAATAATAATAATAATAATAATAATAATAATAACAACAACAATAGAATAGTTTATTTTCCATCCAATTTGTTACCTAACGTCAGATGCTCATTATTACAGAACTGAACAGTATTTTCTTCTTTAAATTCATAATGTTGATATACTATAATTTTACCTAACATAATAACATAAAACCTATTCTTATGTAACATTTTACCATAAATAATTCAATGAAAAATATAAAACATATAAAAGTCCTATTTGTAACTGACACAATAAATAATACGCGTATGTGTAGATTATTTACTAAAAGTAAAATAAAATGATTCATCAATTACTTGCTGCAAGAGTCATGGGACGCGGTTTACAATACTGTTGATACAAACTATAATATTTTTTGTTTCAACGCTTTCATTTCATTTAACACTTGCTTTCCTCTTCAAAAAAAGAAAATTAAATAGTTCACGGAAAAGCAATTCTTAGATACACAAGGGATTAGGACATAATGTAGAAACTAACGAATTCTTTCTTTCATTTCTAAGCATCATAACGTATCACGAAGTTTCCTCCTCCACTTTAAAAAATACAAATCATTGCTAAGAAAAGTCATACGGCAGGCTAAAATCATGAAATATGAGCAAGATATTTTGAAATCAAATAATAAAACAAAAACAATGTGGAATATTGTAAAAAATTCGACCAAATCAACTAGAAACCTTGTAGAGAATTTTGTTTTAAAAGACAACGATAGAAATGTGAACGATCCGGCAACAGTGGTTGTCTCTTTAACCAATTATTTTCGAAAGTTACTGCCGATCTCAGTAAGGGTCTTCAGCCAGAAAATTCAGCATCAGACGTTTCCCCCAAAATGTTAGGTGCGATGTTTGTTTCCGAAACTTCTTCCTATAATATTCTCAAAATAATCGATAGACTAAAAAATAAACATTCGACCGGTTTAGATTAATTTCCGGATTATTCGTTAAAGGCTTGCGCGTCCGCTATTTTACACCCGTTAACTCATATTTCATGTATCCTTATGCACAGGATTTTTTCCAGATATTTTTAAAACAGCTAAGATTAAGCCGCTTTACAAAAAAGGCAACAAAAATGAAATTCATATTCATTATCGACCTATTTCTCTTTCGTCGTTTCTTTTAAAAATATTAGAAAGGCTTCTTTACGTACGAATGGAAACATTTCTTAGTAAACACGACGCGTTTTCAGATTGCCAACATGGGTTTCGAAAATCAAAATCTACGGAAACAGCCATATTTTCTTTTCTTACAGATGTCACCTCATCCATGGATCAAAACCAAGCACCTCTTGGAATATTTTCAGATCATTAAATAGTTGTTGACGTCATTGATATAATATTTTACTCTCAAAATCACCTTCTTATGGAATTCGTGGTGTTGGTCTAGATTGGTTATGTTCGTACCTTAAACAACGATCTCAGAGGGATCTCATCTCGATAAATACCTTACCGGAATAATGGAACATTATGTACACACCTTACTAATTCTTTGCCAATTGCATGTGGAGTCCCGCAGGGAACGATTTATCGACCTATTTTCTTCCTACTATACGTAAACTATATGCCCTCGACAATTAGAAACGGAAGAACAGTTCTCTTTGCGGATGATATGAATATATTTTTTGTAATAATGAAACCGTAAATAGTACAATATTTCAAATTGGTTCCGTAATACTAAATTAATAGTAAATGAAAATAAAACTGTTTCAATGCAGTTTTCCATTTCAAATAAACAGCTCTGCACTTCATTGAAAATGAACGGTGTGCTATTGACTGATGTTAAGCTAATAAAATTTTTAGTTAAACCTCAAATGGAAAGTCCATTTAAATGAATTGAGTTGTACACACAACGAATTGTACGAATAATAAGCAAATCCCACCCACGTGATTCTTATAGGCCTCTCTTCAGTAATCTAGGTAGTTTAACATTACCTTGTCTCTTCATACAGAAATCAGTGTTGTTTTTTTGTCAAAAATGACTTACTTAAGGGCGGGAATATATTTTCAGCATACGCCGTTGTCTATAACTACAACACTCGAAGTAATCATATTCACCAAGTGACAGTATCAACAGCTTACTACAAAAAAATCACAAATAATAATGTACATTATTTTACAACACCTTGCCAGATGACACTAAACGATTAAATTCGATGCAAAAGTTTAAGTCCGAAGTAAAATCTTCTCTGCTGCACAACTGGTTCTGTACAATTAGAGACTATACCGAGCATCCAAAAGGAAAGTAATATTAATTTTAACAATTATATTTAATGTGTTATTTACCATCTGGACTGTATAAGTCTAAACAACCGGTCACAAGTATTGTACTTCAGCTTCTGGGTCAATGACCATCTCGATCATGTTTTCGTCCAGTTTCCCTGATCCTTGAGCAAATGTTGAGATGGATCCTTGTTTTGCTTCTGGACATAAATGTAATTTCAAATTAACTTCTCGTAGCATGTCACACAGCAGTCACCTATACGCTTGGGAGGAAACCACACGAACGCCCGATCTGTGCAGCTGGCGTCTAGACTTTGTATCCAGGCTGAAGCCTGCCTCCAACCAGCTACTTCGTGTTTACAAAGAAAGGTTTCCATTCCTACGTAAAAAGACTCTCTAATGTTTTTGAAAAACCGACAAAAGAGAAATTGGTCGATAACTTGGAATTTCATTGAACTCATAAATACACATGAAATGACACCTTCATCAGAAGAGATAAGTATTGAAGGTAGAGGTTTAAAATAAAAGTTTGTGAGCGTATTATTTTAATAACCAGTAACTGTATACAAGGTGAAAGGCTCACAAGTTAAAGAACTTTGAATAATTTCACTCATAAAATAAATATCCTGTCATTAAAAAATCAGGATTTTTGGTATTGTCAGTATATCAACTTTTCGTTTCTTTTTTGCTACCTGTGTCACACTGTTTGTGCTTTGGGACAAATTAGTATTTCATCTTTCTATCGGCACATGCAATCATGAAAGAAACTAGGGTAAGCCGGTTATTTTAAAAACAGAACAATCTGAAAATATCGTTGAGAAGATAAATCGATATTACAGAAGTTATTTATGGCGCTGCATTTTAAAACATAATAGATTATACGAACGTATCAATTGTCTTAATTGTGATATAGAGTGAAAAACTATTAATATTCTTGTTAATAAATTTCATTTTACTTTTCATTTCTTCAATCCAGTTTCTAGAACGTCATAAAATCTGTCTTTATGGATCAGGTATCTATTCTTTGTAAGAGAATTCTTATCTAGAGTTAAGCATATGGATAATACGCCCTCGCTTAATTGGAATTCGGTAATAAATAAATTCTGGAAATTCGGTAACAAGATACGCTGAAAATGGAACCGTCTATCTCGTGTAAACTCATAAAATGCACTGTTGGTTTTATTTATCTCGTAACCTTCGCAGGAGTGTGATTAACACTAAGTCCATGCTGTGATTTCAGGATCTGAAAGGTATGACGAAGGCTATTTACAGAGGATTTTGCAAAGCCATGGAAGTATAGATAAGAGTTCCCCAATACACTGAAGCTACTCACATTTCTAGGATCAAAGGACGTTACGTGTTATTACTTATTCTCGTCCTGTTTGTATTACTTCTGATTTATATTAATAATTTCTGTGTTTTTCTGTGGGTGTTTTTCGTTAGATAATGGCTTAGTTTCAATTTCGTCCGAAAAATGCAAATACTTGGTTGTGTTATTCCGCCTAAACTCACAATGCGCATATTTGCTTAAATTCTCATATTTTAGCTGAAATAAGTTAGAGTTGCGGAGTATAATTTCTCAAAGAAGGAATAGATTACTTAATTTTACTTTCTCGCGGATTACGTACTAATGTAGTAACGAGTAAGTATGGTAATGCAGCGGAAAGGAACGATTTTTCATCTGTAAAACTTGTATTGAGAGTATAGGTGTTGTGGTGTGATATCGTTGGCAGTTTTCATGAAATAATTAAAGACGTTGTCCTTGCCAACAATATTATTTAATGTAAGAGCAGCTTTCGATGGCTTAGCCATCATCATCAGTTGTCTGATACAAGAAGAAAAAACAAAAACAAAACATTAAAACGTGAATCTTCCTTTGAATTTACAACAAGATTAGGATAAAGGTTCATTCAAAGGAATATTCACGTTTTAATGTTTTGTTTTTGTTTTTTCTTCTTGTATCAGACAACTGATGATGATGGCTAAGCCATCGAAAGCTGCTCTTACATTAAATAATATTGTTGGCAATGACAACGTTTTTAATTATTTCTTGTATTGAGAGGCCTTGTTATCGAAGAAGTGTTTAACTCCTTTAGCTATAACTAGTATGATTACTTCCTTCACACATAGTTTAGTGAGAATCCACATTTTGTGAGTTTAACGAGTAAAGTGATAAATTGGTTTTCGGCCTAAATCGCTCAAAAGATTTTCTTCAAAATTGATATTCTCCTATCGAAGAGGCCGAACTCGAGGCCCTGCGAATTGGAAACGAATATTTGTTTTGGGGTTACTTTACATGAAGACTTAATATTTTGATTTGTTTTTGAAAAATGACTCATAGTCATTGAATTTCCCCCTCTCATATAGAGCAAAGGAATGTTAAAGAAAAGGCTCAGGTCTCATGTCCTTTAAGCCCTATTAATATTCGATTGCAAATGTTCAAAAAACGTCCGTCTTCCTACAATTATAATATTAAAGATGACAGAATGAGTGAGGGAGAGAGGTTGCGAGGGAGAGAGCTGTGTGAGGAGGAGAGTGTGACGGGAGGAGAGAAAGAGTGTGAGCGTGAGAAAGTGAGAGAGGGAGAATGCGTGAAGAGGTTGTGTGCGAACGTGTGTGCACGTGCGTGAGTGCGAGCGAAGCGATCCGCGAGGGCCTCACCTGGTACACGGGCACCACGTCCATGTGCGAGTTGAGGAGGACGGCGGGCAGGCTGGGCCGGGCGCCGGCCCACGTCACGATGACGACGGGCTTGTGCGGCGCGGCGGGCCGCGCCACGCGCACGGGCAGGCCGATGGACGCCGCCTGGGCGCGGATCCACTGCTCGCAGGGCCCTGCGCAAGCAGCAACGGTGGCTCCTGAGCTGGAAAGGCCGGCTCCGGGGACATGGGGGGCGTTTTTTTTTGATCGATTAACTGTGATACCGGGTGCGTCAACGGCTGTGATCATTATTCCTGTAAGTGTAGCGCATGTTTCTTCCTCGAGAGGTGGCGGTGATCTTCCCCCGCTGATAGCGAGATCTGGCGACGACATACCGTCGGCGTATGGGGTTTTCTCCCACCAAGTATCTCCCACCAGCAGACAGAGCAGTAGCTGTCAACGCGGTCCCTTCTTAGAGTAATCTCTCCACAAGAATGAATATCAGGTATTTAAGCTGAAGACTGAAAAGTCGCTGTCACCCTCCTTGATACAACCCACCTGAAGTTCAAGCATTAGACGGTTCGTGTTGCTGCGACCCCTGCAGTCGTGAAACCACTCTACACGAAGATATTCTAGTCTTTCCTCTCTGAAGCCACATTTTCTGGGACACTGAGGAAGAGAAAAGAGGAAGGAGGAAAAGGAGAAGAAAAAGAAGTGAAACAAGAATTAGAAAAAAGTGGGGACGAATGAGAATAAATTAATTCATATATTATTTTGTTTCCCAGACATCAACTGCTCCGATCATTCGTCTGTGAATGTTATAGCCCGAGAGATGGCGGCGACCCTCGCCCCCCTGGAACTGAGATCCGGCGGCGCCCTGCACGCGTGCTGCCAGGAGGTCCTCATTCTTTCCCCAGAGGAATTGCGAGTGGCGACCCTCCAAAACTGGACAATAATAATTAAATAAAGCGTCACATTTTAAACGAAACATCTGGAAAACAGTGGGAGTTTGTTTGATGATTCTGAGCACGTCAACGACCGTTAACTCCGTTAGTGTAGTAAATAGTTTTATGCTCCACTCACTGGCAAGATCTGGCGCTGACATACACGTCGGTTTGCCGCCCCCTCCAGGTATCACCCCAGCGGGGTACTGCCAGTTCGGCCACCCCGATAGACGATGAAATGAATACTTCTATAACAATAATAAGTGTATGGTGGTTCTGTTCTAGCATTACAGAGCCGAGTAACTGCGAAAATGAAAAAGAAAAAAAAAAATTTTTCCGGGCGACAAAATGAAAGCAGCCGTGAAGAGAATGAGACATGCCGCAAAAGTTAGTCAAAAGTAGAGAGATTAGAAAACTAAGTAGAGCGAGAAAGTCTGTGCCATTCTTTAGCACCACTAATTTATTTAATAATGTATTTATTATTTATTTAAATAGCCCATTTGCTACAACAAACTTTTTCTGAGGCAAAAATATAATCAAATTTGTAGTTTTGAAATTATTTTTCAATTTTCGAAAAAAAAGAGCAATATTCGAATTTGGGACTAGCACCACATTTCTTACCGCCCCTTATTACATATGTGGACAGAATTTAAAGAAAAATTGGAGCGGTTTTTGAAAATTGTTTTCGTAAACTTCAAGCGCAAATTACGCAAAAACTACAAACCTTTAGAAAAAATGTTCATGACCTTTTTTTAAAGACCTAAATTAGTACACAGACTTTGTCTGAGCCAAAACCTATATCATCAATTATGTAGTTTAAAATTTGTTTTTTGCAATTTTCCAATATCGCTGAAAATGAGACCTGCACCACTCTTAAACGGCTTTCGCACTATTGAAAAACGAAATTTAATTAAAAAATTTGGAGCGTTTTTTTTTTTTTAATTTTTAAAATGTCTGTAGGGCATCATGTAAAATAATATTAATTTTAGAGATAATCGGCCCGAACGGTTTAGCCTTAGCCACTGGTGTTGACCACAGACGGACAGACGGATAGACGTTTTGCCGTCAATCGAATTTTCGGTGTCAAGAACAGACAAAACTTGGATTCTGGCTACACCACGTATAACAAGATTTCCTCCCTAAATTTAGCAATAGGATTTATCCACATTTTTGTTACTAGAGCCCGACTATAAGACTTTTTCGGACGAAAATGCGTGGTTTTTCGCTGCACGATTACATAACTTTCTCTTCGTCCAAAGAATTCGTAAGGCGAGAAAGTAAAAAGAACGATTATGAGAACGAGAAGGAAGAATGGGAAAAAGAAGGAAGAGAGAACTGTCGCTGGTCTCCGATGCCCTGCTGGCGATTGTAGTATGATAGGAGCTGGCACTGCATTGGGGTGCTGAAAATATCTAAATTTGGACAGAAGCCCTTTGACAAAATTCAAAACACAACCTTGTGAGCTTTCTTTCAACCCACTGTCTCTGCAGCAAGGTTTAAAAATTTCTAGAACGTCAAGAATCTACGTTTCCGTCGTTCATTCATATATTAATTCATTCATTCATTTATCATACATTCATTCATTCATTTGTGCCCAAATATGTGTTCTAGAAAAAATATAAAACCTGAATTTCACTGAAATGCACATCTTCCCTAAACACATTACACATAGTTTTTAACTGTTTTTGACGTTAAAGAATTAAACTCCTCACTATCGCACAAAATTAAAAGAGTTCACAGTAACGAAATTAAACCAGAAAGACGAAATGACCAGAAAGTCGAAAGAGTGTGTGAAAGCAGTATTACAGAACATGTAGATTGGAAGTACTTTCTCAATTACTCCAAAAATTTAAACTTTGTAGCCAACTTGCTACTCTTATTTTGTAACGCCGGTTATCCCGCCACAAGAAACGTATCGTACGCAAACGTATTGACGAACGTTTATTTATTATTGCTGACACCAGCAACATTAATGTGACAGCCTTATAACAAGCTTCCGTTCATGGGGACGATGCCTCTCCAATAGAAAAAGGAATGTGCATGCCTTTGCGACTTCACAAATACTTCACTCACAAATTCAATGCCCCTCACTGAACTGCGAGCGGCGGAATTTCTTTCCAGCTTCAACTCCCAAGCCTCCCGCACATGTGTTATTTCTCCACTCTCCTCCTCTGCTTTGTTAACATCTCAGCGACCTTGTACAAAGTCGAAGCACGTCCATTGCCTTCGCAGCTCTCGCTTGCGACTTCCTGGCACGTGATTTATGCTTTGCATAGGTGTGCCCAGATTGTCTAATGTGTTTCCTCTCACTTGTAGCTAGCAGAGAAAAGAAAGAACTTCATGACAATCCCTTAATTTCGTAGAATTCAAAATATAAATTTCGAAAGTTTCAAACGTTAGAATTAATGCGAGAAAGTATCTGCTGTTGAGCACCACTAGTTTCACTTTCTCGTAAAACGAAAGTATTGTAATGATGCGGAAGAAATCGTCAATTTTCCGAGAGAAAAACTAGTTTTGTAGGACCTTAGTAATGAAAAAGCAGTAACATTTAATTTTTTAAATTGTAAATTACTTCTTCTAACACGTTGTGTAGACAGAATTGACGCTTTTGGGGTTTGTGGTCAGAGATATTCATATTTACACAGACGGGTACAATGATGTGCGTAAAACGTATTTCGAAAGGAAATTGAACCTTTCTAAAGGAAATCCTCATAACAAACGTTGAACAATTCCTCCGCCGACCTGTTTCAGTACAGTGATAAATTACGTAAGTCCTCAGACAGTGGTCCAATAGCGAAAACAAATGTCACATACCCAGAAAGGAAGACTTACGTAGATGTATTGAAGAATTCAGGAAACCGACTGCTTGCGGCACTCGGCAACGCAGAGCATGATTTCATAAAGTGTCCTGTGGTAGCTTGCCGTGTCTTGATCTATCAGCAGCATCGCGTTCGAACGCGATAACTAGAGGTGCTAAATAGCACATACTTTCTCGCATTAGTATTGTAATTTTTAAAAACTTCAGAGGGCTCAACGAAAACGAGGCCTGCGCCATTTTTGACACGTTCTTTCTTATATCCGGGGGAGAGTTTAAGAAAAAAATTAGAGCCGTCTTTTAAAAATTTTTTAAAATCAATTGTATTAACTTCTATGCAAAAATTGTGGCGTAAACTACTTTTTTTTCAAAAAAATTACCTGACCATATTTAAATATATATTTTTTTAAGTTTAATTTAAGAAAAATACCTCTATCATCAATTGTACATTGACTATATTTATTTTTTGCAATTTTCAAATATACAGATATTTTGCCGAAAGTGGATTCAACAAGAGTTTCTTTATCGTCATATTTCGTCTATTTCATACATACGAGAAAAAATTTAAAGAAAAAATGGATATCTTTTTAGAAAAAGATTGTTTAAAAATTGCCTATATTTCACGCCAAAATTGCGCGAAAAGAATCATGTAGTCTGTCAATTGACTCAGCCTTTCAAAACTGTCAGTTTTTCTCATTTATTTGATAATCCTTATCTCTACAGTACATTTATCGCGTGTTTCGCATGGCTTTGAAATTTGTTGACCCAAAGCAATAATATAAGGTGCGATGCTAGCCTGTTTATACACACAGACATAAAACACAAGTTTTCGTCCGAAATGTATTGTATAACGTTCAATTTTACTGGCTAAATTCGGGGATAAATAAAATGTAAAATGCAACTGAGAGAAGCTGATGATTTTTACTTTCTCGCCCTTACTCGTAAAAAGAGAAAATATTGTTAACGTGTGCCGCAAAACGGCAAATTTTCGACCCATTGTGAATGAGTAATTAGAATTCATGTTTGAGGGTCCTTGAAAAGCAAAGCAAAAATCGATTCGCGGCAAACCACAGGCGGACGGTCCGTGTCTGTGGCGAATGCTAGCGCCAAAACTGTTCAGCCGTTCTCTCAGCTGTTCAAAATTGATATTTCTCAACCGATTAATTTTAAAAAATGGCGAGGCCTTCTGAATTCGAAACGGATATTTTGATTTTTTGGGGTACTTTACAAAAAGCCATTTTCTATTTCAAAATTTTCTGAAAAATGGCTCCAATTTTTTTAAATTAAGCTTTGTAATTGGATAGCGTAAACGACGTTTCAGAACATGGTACAGGTATCATTTTCAGTGAAATTCCTGATTGATAGAAAACTGCAAAATGTTAATTTTTTTGGCACTTTACTACAAATAGAATATCGAAGATCGATATTTTTCCCTAATGAAATGTTTTTTAACTTCAGATCTTGAAATAAGGCTATGTTCAATTTTTCGATAATATGAGTAGTTTTCGTGTAACTTTGCGTCAAATTTAGTCAATTAAAAACAATTATTCGAACATCGAAAATTCCAAAAAGTTACATTGCAAAAGTAGAATACTGAAGATATATTTGTTTTAAATAAAATCTTTACTAAAAATCTTATATTTAAAAAAGGTGATGTACAAATGTTTGAGATAATGAGTAGTTTTTACATGTCTTTTTGAAGTTAAGAAGATTTTAAAAAAATGATTTTCTCAAAAACTGCTCCAAATTTTATCTTTAATTTTTTTCCACGGATAAAACAACAGACTGTTAAAGAATGGCCTAGGTCTCAACTTTGTTCAACTCAGCATTTTCGAAAAATTGCAAACGTTATAAATAATTCGAGAAAGGGTGTCCTGTTGTAGCATCACTAGTTCTTTAAGCATAATCGAAATGTACATAAAAATGTATAAATGTACAGGCATACTTTATGCAATTCACTACAAGAAGAACTGTATAAACCGTTATGACAAATGGATATAATTTATGGAATATTTGTTATCACAGTGCTATCTTCAACTGTCAAACAAAAAACAGATCATAAACGGCTTGCTCGCAGAACATTGGCCTTATAAATCTTTGAAATATATCAATTTTAAAGTATATGACAAAATTCTCGAGATTGTCAAGACTTTCTCGTATTTTTTCTCGCTTCCCCCTTACTCCTTCCCATCCTTTCTTTCTTCTTTTTATCAATATCATATCCTCTCTCTCTCTCTCAAACACATACACACACTTTCTACTACTATTTCTCTTATATGTAACTACGAACCTGTTCAAACTAACACTAACGAATATACAGATCATTAGTGGACATAATTAGAATGATCGTATAAATTCGAAAGTTTATCGGTTTTAAGTAAAGAACAAGTTTTTATGGCAGACAAAAATGAATTAATATCTATTTCTACGTGATGAGCAAAAATCAGTCTTTAGATCCCAGATGCTTGCAAATCAACATTGAAATTCGTTTGGCTGTTTTTATTTAACTTTTGAATCGTTGCACGAATTCTCGATTCGATGCCAATTGTCACACATTTAGAACCCAGAACTACATTCCCCGACCTCTTTGGCAGGCACAGGAAGAGTGACGCGTTTAATTCATTGATGACTATTTTGGTTTCGTTATTCGAATGAGCTGGTAACACAAACCTTCAGCATGATAACAAATTCATAGAGCGGCATTTGTTGATGCAAATTCACTTACTAGTCTTCATGAAACTGATTGATTCGTGTTCATCAATAATCTTAGCATGAAAAGTCATGTCTCTGCTGTTTAATCTTCCAATTCCCTGATGTCAAATAGAGAAAAAACACATTTAATGAACTCACGATTCTAGTTCAAATTCGTGCGCAAGTTAGAGGTAGCTTCAAATCGAAAGAAACTTTTTTTCTGGGTTTGGCCTTGACTTTCGGATGTGCTATGAAAACATACTTTATATTATTTGTGTTCACTTAAATACATCTCAAAACTATTTAAACAAGTATGTAACGTGAGTTCCCTTTAATTTATAGTAATATGTTCCCGAGTACCGCACTATGGACATCAGTACATTCTGCATATGCGGTCCCACGTACGATTCCTATTTTGATCCAGTATCGTTAACTGGTAGCAAATGGGAAGCATTTGAACTTCACGGTAGCATAATTCATTCATCAAACCAAAGTTTATAATGACACAATTACGATGGGTTGGCCACATTCACTCCGCCCTACAGTCACGCTATGTTCCTTCGAATAGTTCGTTAAATGGTAAATGAACTAAGATATAAACGGAAATCGGAACAAATAACTCACAATAATTTCATTTATTTCGCGATTTCCTTGTATTTGATTCCCCGTCCTGAAACGTCTCGTTTCGCGTCCCGTATCCATTTCCGAGCTCCGGTTCTTCCAAGTTCTTTCATCGTGCATTCTTACCGTAGTCAACGTTCGGGTGGACTGATGGAATCCGCAAATAGTCCCTGAGCGCGTTCACCGCCTGCTCGTCCAGGTCCGCCTCGGAGCGGGCCATTGTGTCACGTCTGGCACGCGCCACTACCCACCGACGTCCTCGCCGGAGCCAGTCTCCTCTCCTGGGCCGAGTCGACCAGCAGCCCAGCTGCCCCCCCCCCCGCCTCCTCCATCGTTGCGCCGCTCGCGGGCTGCGTGTTCGTAACCATTTTGTGCATTGCCGCCCCCCCCGTCCCGCCGTCAACAGGCCGTCCGTCCGGAGGAGTAAAGTCGTGTCACGATAACAACAGATCCCCCGTCGCGCGGGGGGCACATTTTCTGATAACAGGGCGAGGTCATGATGAAGCTCCGAGTCGGGCACGCGCCGAATAACGACCTCTCGCTGTTTTGCTCATAGCACGAGGTATTAGCCTATTTGCTCTCGTAAGTACAGCATTCCGCACATCGCGAAACATCCTAAATTCATTTGACTTTAATTAGAACTCCAAAGGGATCTAGAAACCCACACGAAACTATTTTCGAAAAGTTGCTATTCAGACAATGATTCTCCAGTTTAAGAAAAAAACACATCTGATCTGTTTCACCTCGCTCTATGAATAATTAAAAGAATGTTGCAATTATGAAATTGGGCTAATTCAAAAGACATTTTAAAATGTTCGGAGTATGAAATATTCAGGAGTTTTCACTATTTAATACCCTCTTCATCTATCGTCCACTATCAAGACTTAAAATACCCTTTTCATTTCAAAGACGTAATTACAACCGTCAAGACAGGGATGCCTTTTAATTTATAACGGTTATCTCAATACGAATCATATAGTGTCTCGGGGGACTCAAAACTTGTTGAGTCGTGTCGGGCATTCGAGATGCAGCATGTCTCAAGGATAAATGTTTCAAATTTCTAGGACATCTAGAGAGGGTCAAAGGTGATCCCTTTTTGACATTCAACATTTGGTGCAAAACTTCATGAATAGAAGTTACACTTGTAGCATTTGCCCCTGATTGTAATATAGGCAAATGCAAGCCCTCTTACGCCACTGTTCGCCATGCACACGAAAGTCCTTTGATTTGCTTAGAATATGGCCTGCCGAGCCCATATGAATGAGAAGTTGCCAACCAAATAACGGAAAATGTAACACGTATAACTTTAGATTGATTTAGTTAAAAAACTGTAATTGACGTATGGGGGAGAAGATAATCTGCGCACTTTTCTTGAGTTCCAGATTCCCTTCCCTCATTTTAACTACAACATTTCAAAGATGAGTAAAAGTTAAAGATTAAATAAATAAAAATAAAATTTTAAAATGCGCAGGATTGGAGGCATTGGACAAACTAAACATTTTCATTCCTGAGTTATAGAAAACCTATTTGCATCGGTAAACGAATTACAATTATGATTTTTCTGCTTTGCTAACAAAGAGTAACTCGCCCTTACCTCCTATCACTACAAGCAAAAGGAGAGTTTAACAAAACGTGCGCGTAGTGAAGCTACATTTACGTCCAGAAGCAAAACAAGGGGCCATCTCAGCATTTGCTCAATGGATCAGGGAAACTGGACAAAAACCTGATCGATATGTGGATCATTGACCCGGAAGCTGAAGTACATTATTTGTTACAAGCATATTAAGTCTTTTTTAAAATTATACAATACAATGTAAACTAATTCATTATATATCACTCTTTGGTTAAATAAATATTATTTTTCTTTTTGTTGATCAGTATAGTCTCTAATTGTATAGCAAGTTATGTAGCAGAAAATATTTTACTTTTAACTTAAATCTGTGTACCGACTTCAGTTGTTTAATGTCATGTAATAGCAATGCGTTGTAAAATAACGTACATGAATTGTATGTGGACTTCTGGTAGTGAGCTGTTGATATTGACACTTGATGAATGTGATTTCTACGACGTGTGTTGTAATCATAAATATCAGTATTGAATGAAAATATGTTCCCTCCGTTAAGTAAGTCAGTTGTGACAAATATTACTAACTCGTAAAAAAATAGGCAAGGCAATGGTAAGATTCCAAGCTCAATGAGAGAGGCTTGCAGGGATCACGCGGATGGCACTTGTTCATTATTCGAATGTTCTTTTGCAATCTAAAGGTTTGGATACTACATGAGGAGCTTCACCAGAATAGTATGCCATATCTCAGGCGGGAATTCACATTTGCAAAATACACGCAACGAGCTGCATGAAGGTTGGCAGAATTCTGAATGCATAACATAATAAACTTAATATAGTGTTTAATTTTGTTATATGTACATTCCAACGTGCTCAGCTAATTTACATATTGTTCATTTTCAATGGAGCATGCAATTGTTGATTTGAAATGCAAAAATGCATTGAAACGGTTTTCCTTCGTTCACTATTAATTTGTTATTACAAAACCAATTTGAAACATCTGAAATCGTATTATTTATTGTTTCTTTTTTGCAAAGAACATATGTGTTATCGGCAAACAGAACTGTTTTCCGATAGGACCTAAGATTGAACCTTGCGGGACTCCATATTCAATTGGTAAAGAATTGGAAAAATATGTAAATAATGTTTTTTCGAACCAACGGAGGCTGCCGCAGCTCACAAGCTCGTTCATTCTGATGAGGGAGGCGAGAGCGAGCAGTTCTTTCCGAGGGAGGAGAATGAATAGTTCATTCCGATGAAGGATGCGAGAGTGAATAGTGCATTCGAAAGCGGGAGACGAGAGCGAAAAGTTCGCATTCTGATGTAGGAGGCGAGAGTGAGAGGTTCAGAGTCCGATGGGGGAATCGCGAGAGCCAGGAAAACGTCTTTTGTCTCTGGGGGACGCCGCTGAACGCGTTGCCGCGCACCGCGAGACGCCACACCGTCCGCGCCGCCGCCGCCCGAACGCATCGCCACAACATCGCGGACCGCTCCGGTGGCGCTCGGGCAATGACTGTGTGAGCGCCCGAACTCCAGCCCAGAGATCACGAGGGCCGAGCGCAAACTGCTGCCGCGAGCCACACGCCTGCCCGACGGTGACAATAATAATAATAATATTTATTTATCTGCTAGTGAGCATTCGCTCCGGTGCAGGTTTATAGCACTTATACAGAGATATTAATATGTACATACATAGGAATGCATATAAGTGTGAAAAGTAACAGCTAAGTAAAAACTAAAAGACCTAACCATGCACGTTATTGGCATCACACGCAATCCTTTGAGGCGGTTCCGGAAGAAACGCACACGTGGAGGGAAAAAGCGCCAGCACTGCAGCAGGGTAAAATTGTTCCAGTCAGTTATTGTCCGGGTGGCAAAAAGATGTATCTTACCATACGTCGGTTTTTGAATTCCTATATTGTGATTTGTATGGATGATCTCTCTTTCCAAAATATTGAGGGTGCCCTATCCTATTCGAATGTCATTTAAACGCTTTACAATCCATTGTACAGCTTTCAGGAAGGTTATACTAGTGCTAGCGATCTTCGACGGTTTGCCTAAGGGTTCCCACATCTGAGTTTGAGCAAGTTTTTCCAACAAGTTTTAGTTGTTCTATTTGAATAACGGTCTAACCAAGTTTGCCCAGCCCTATTACGGGTCTCACACGCGGAGCTATATCCATCACCGGACGACAAGGGAAGTATAACGCTAAGCGCATTTGTCGTTCGCGATTTCCTCTCCACAAATCACGCATTACAAAATGGAGTGATTTCCAAGCTTTGCGCGCAACGTGATTTGATGTGGCGGGGACCAGTCAAAGTCGTTACGAATAATTAGCCCCCAGATACTAACGCTACTTAACTTTCAGGCACAAGCTTGATCTGCAAGTGTGTTTTTAGTGATTTATTACGGTCCTAACTGAAGGTACGGCTTTGCATTTCTTAGGATAATATGACCCGCGTGCTAGCGCCCGGGACGCCACCTGGTGCGCCTGACCGCCTCGCCGAAGGGGCGAAAACAGGCACCACCGGGCCACGCTGCGGGAAGGCTAGAGCCGCGGCGGCACCGGTTGGCCAGGGGAAGGGACCGCTGCTTGCGTCACGGGGTCATGGATGCCGGGGAGGACATCTGCCTGAAGGGGCGAACTCTGGCCTGAATGGCCTTAAGTAAGATAAGTTCGTTAGTTTGAAGAAAGATCTGTTTATAACGAGAGGCTTCACCTCGAATGGAATGCATATTAATTCCACTTAAAAACTGAAGCCATGTGTTTTAATGCATTATGAGCATGAGAATAAGCCATATCACGGATGTACAGACTGAGCAGCCAGGGCAACGCTGAATCGGATTACCAGGTAATCAGGTGAGCCCGGGCAGACACCCGCGGGCCGGGTGATTACAATAAATACACAGTTTTCCTTGATTTGTAGGCAACTTCTTTTGCACAATGTTCGACAGGTCACGTCCTGGACCAGACTATGAGATTTCATGTATTTGATGAATATCTATGCATACGGAGTAAAGACGTCAGGACCAAATGCCACTTAAAATGTATATACTTCCGTTATATGGATTTTTACACTATGTGTCCATTGACAAAAAGTGATCATTTTCGACCCTTCTACATGCCCTAGAAATCTGTAACATTGATTTTGATACACACACACTCGCATCCCCCCCCACACACATATATCGCAATTAGTCGCAATGACCCATCGCACAAAGCGCCCCTTTAAAATAACTCCACGCGAATGGCGCTTTTAGGCACAACACGTCTTCCGCCGCCCAAGGATTTCTCGACGTTCTCCTGCCTTCGAAAAACACCCCTTACAATCTTTTGTGGCGCAATAGGAGATTGACTTCCAGAACAGTCGTATTAAGAGACTCGGGGGAAGCTCGCTAGCTAATCCCTAAGGGGCAATAAACCATGAAGCTTCGTAGAAGGGTCGCAGACGTGTGTCGAGTCACGTACGCACTAGAAGGAGAAAACTAAACAACCACATGGAGGAAGTGAAGGTTGCAAAGATGTGCGGTCCCCTTAACCACAGAGCTCGGGTGATAGAGTGATCAGAATTTATTGCGGATGCCGGGCTGGGATAATAGGACCAACACCCTAAAATTATCCGTGAGGGTGTGCAGCCCGACCATTCGGCTGTAAAACACAAAACGCGATTCAGGCGACCTGCGCATCAAAACAGACTCATTTCGCGGACGGCCACGGATGATCACCCGCCC